CTTCAAAAACAAAGTTGTAACATATAGCAGCTTTCTTAGCTGACACTAACAGTGCTACCATCCATCCTCCATCCATAGGCGCACCAACTCCGCTCCTGGTGAACGTTTTCAGGCAAAATGGTTACAATAACTGGCAGATCCACAGAGTTCTCAACCATCGTCAGAACATCAGTTGGTCCAATAATAAACCGGACTCAGTCGCCAGCTGCCCTATGTCGGGACTATATTCAACTCAATCGGTAGAGTGCTGTCCCGGCACAACATCAAATCAGTGGGCCTGCCTCCAAAGAAATTATCTAGTTTCCTCTGGCCGGTCAAGGACAGCCTGGGACTAAGGACACCGGGTGTATATGGAATCCCCTGCAAGTGTGGCAAGGTCTATATTGGGTAGATGGGCCGTTCCGTGGACATGAGGTTGAAGGAGCATCAGCAACACATCTGTCTTGAACATCCAGACAAGTCAGCTGTGGCTGACACAGCATCAATTTGGGACACCGCATTCAGCTTCAGAATACCTCCATCCTCACCACCAAGACCCGATATACAGATGGCATCATTAGGGAGGCCATTGAGATTGAACTCCATCCCAACAATATGAACACGGGGTTTTGTCTCAGCAAGTCATGGAAGCCTCTCATCTGTTCCCTCAAGAAACCTCCAGGACATGACGCCAGATCCACAAGGCCACGCAAGTCTATATCCGACTTGCATAGCAGCCCTGAAGCCTCAGGGTTAATGCCCTCCAATTAACCTTGCCTTTCTCCTCTCCTAACACAATATTCTATACCTGCTCTGGCCTGCTACCTGCTGGCCCACCTCCCCAGGCCCTTCCCTTCTCCTCTCTACTGATTTCCCATATAGCCCCTCTCTCTCTTCTCTTCCTGCTTTTATACAGCTGGGTTTATTCTCGACATTAGTCTGTTAGCAGCTGCTCATGCTAGTTCGTCACTCATGGATCTTCTCCTGTTTTCTTCTACTCTGAAGATGGAGGCAATACGTTCCTCCGAAACATCGGTTAAGACAATATCTACACAGAGCCACATCCCAGAAGACTGCTTTCTTCATAGTCACCACTGAGAAAACTCAAATCTTACAAAGACTTTTCTCTTACTCGAAGTTCCCACACTGACTCTAGGGCACACCCAGCCTCCTATTCAAAGAGTACCAGGACTACCCTGAGAGTAAACTTGATCAATCATGTCTCATTAAGGCAAAGGTTAAGAATACATGGAGATATACCTTCACTCCCCCATATATCTTCATGGTATGGTGATTAAATAAGCACCAGGATAACTTAACCTTTAACGATAGAGGTAAAGTTATCCTTGGGCTTAATTAATAAAGCATCACGCCATGAAGAACTTTGGCCGAGTGGAGGTATAACTACATCATCCTCAGCTTTGGCATTAGGTGGGTGTGAGTGGCCAGCTCCATACCCTGAACACTTTACCCCCAAGGAGAAAGTCCCCACTAGCCACTGTACAGGAGGCAGGGTTTGGGACATTATGGGGAAAACAATTTCTTGCCCCTGCTGGGAATCAAACCCTGACTCCCCAGTCATCCTGCCTCTTATCTAGTCGCTATTCTAACTGAATTAACCCAGCTCGTTGATAATTTTACTTTTACTACATATAATTGCATACTATCTTTTCCCTTCTTCATTAATGACATTATGTTCATCAAACAACTTAAGTCTTTACTGCTACACGTATATTAATAGCTATCAAGAATGCAGCGCTGTTATTAAGGGCTAAAAAGGACAATGTTTTACCATTAAAGTGTGATTTTTCATCAGTGAACATAAACAAAAGCGTGAGTGGTGCAGCGGTTGCATTCAGTAATGCTGTAATACTTAGCCTGAAATGGTTGGTAACTGACTGAAATGCTTCACAAGCTGACAGTATAAAATATGCACAAATGAAAAAGCATATAATATTTTAGGTTATAACTGATCTGTGAACAATTTGAGGGATTTTCTTCTTGACTCTGAAACCATGTAGTTGAGTAAACAGTTTCTTAACATTTCTCAGTATATAGTGCCTCTGCCTTCTGGGTACGTCTCAAATGTAGGAAACATTTCACCCCACCACATGGCATCGGAACACAAACACACAAAAGATTTCTACTTAGTGGCTGTCTCGTGAAATAATATTATAAACATGAATATGATAAGTTTTGAGGTTTTTACAGTGATGACTATGAAGAAAGTCGTCTTCTGGGATCTGGCGCCGTGTATTCTTGGTTCTTGGTTAAAACCTAGAATACACAGCACCAGATCCCAGAAGACGACTTTCTTCATGAATATGATAACATGACAATTCAATTCAAACTGGAATAAGAACTACTCTTATGGGAAATTATAATGCGTGAACATTATTTACTCAATTAAGTAATCACATGTTTATGCTGAACACTTCTGACATGGCTCTACAGAGATTTCTTAATTCATGACAGTTTTGTATTATACCTCCAGTCCATCTTCTGAAAACATAATAAATACTTTGACTCCAGTGTTCATTAATCATCACTTTTAGGGGGCAACAAAGTCTCAGATTCAGTGCTGAAAAACATTTATTTTAAATTGTTGTGCTCAGATATGCTCCATAATTTAAAAATAAATTATGTTCACAATTTTTTCTAAACAATAATAAAAAAAAAGGACATGATTTACACAAAACAGAAAATGTTATCCCAAAAATCTTCTTCCCAATGTACCCTTCCAAATTTCATTGAAACCGAAGAAAAGATGCATCTAAACGCGTTTTCTTGTGTTCTCCCATTTCTTTTTGTAGATTCCACTCTTCTTCCATACAAAGTTACATAAAAATGGGACAAAGTCCCTTAACCTTTACTATTCGAGAACAGAAGATTTCAAATCCCCTGGTACTATGGGGATTAGCAGCCAGATTTCAACTCAGGAGTAACAATTTTGGTACTGAAAAAAATGCAATGCCTAGCCAGCTAGACAGCATGCATGCACTGTCATACTCCACCTACTTGGGGAATAAGGGTTGCACCACTGTCAGCTAGCGATGTAGAACATTATATTGCCATTAGAAAGTTACTACTGAAATTTATTTTCAATATACTTTCATCACTGATATGGTGGGAAATTCAAGAATCCAAATGAAGGATTTTTCTTCATGAGGTTGCCTACACAAGGTATGACATACCTTCATTTGCAGAACAGATGGACTTTACAACAGCGCAAAGGCTGGACAAGTCAATAAAATAAAATTTTCACATGGTGAGTATGTATTTTGTGTTACAATAGTTAACCTGTTTTGAGTTATGATATTTTTTAATTGAAGAAGACTTATTTATTAAAGAGCAAAACTTCAGCATAACAAAGAAAATATGCTATTCTAAAGCTTCCTACATTTCCAATAAAAATATGAACCGCGAACAGCCATTTAGCACAGACCTGACAAACATATTATTTTAAACGTCTTTTTAATACAATACATGAAGTGTTGTTGTGTATACAAAAAGTTGACAAAGACAAGGAATACAAATCAATTTCTTAAAAAAATACTCATACATTCCATTTACTACTATTTTGATATAAAAAAAGAACAAGTTTTAAATGAGACCAGTCACTTAGAGGTGGTTTGGTATATGGAAAGAAAGTGTAAACTGTGGAAACTGCAAATTAAACCACAGAGTAATCTCTTGATGCATCCTTATTCCCTACATTTCATTAACCACTGACCTTCAAATATCTGTTGTCTGAATCCACAGAATATAATCACTGCATTGGTGGCTAAACAATTTTCTTTAATTCCATTAAAAATCAAAATTAAGTATTTCCAATAATGTCTTGAAACAAACATACTCAAGAGTGTGCCATGTTTGATTCATGGGTAATTTCTTTAGTGACCAGCAAAAGAGTTTCTGCATTTTTATTAATTGTACTGATAATTCCATTTAACAAACATTATCATGAATACAGGTACCCGATTTAGGCCATACAATTTCATGATCTGGACTTTCTTTACATCACATTCCACAGAAAAGTTAAAAAGAAATTGGAATAAAGAATTCAATTGTTTCAACCCAATACAAATTAAAACTGAAGCAGACAAATTTTTAACCTTTACTGTCCCAAGTATCCCACTCCAGTACTCTAAAAGTAAGTTCCCAGCATCCTGTGTACCTCCATGACAGAACACAAACACCATTCTGCCATTGTACTTTTGTATGTATCTGACACAATGAACTTTAATATCTGCTAGCTCTTAACTTTCACATGGTGATTCATGGCTCACACTGCACCACTGTGTCATTACTATCAAAATATGAACAATTTTCTAAGTTCCTGCAAGTGGTTTGGCACATAGGATTGACTCATAAGATAACTGTTTATGAATGAGGAAGAGAGGGACAAGAAGATCTGATGTGCAACTGCTCAACATTTCATCAGTATTTATATCATGAGGTACAAAAGAAAAAGAACTATGATTTGTTATAACTACAAGTCCTTCAGTCTTTCATTACTGAATTGTGGTTGTCACATTACACAATGAAGACTTCACATGCAAATCTCCATGTTTGCGTTTTACTTGTATTTTGCTGGTAGAACTTTTGAATAAAGCAGGAAAGTCCAAGTAAAAATTGCATCACTGTTGTCTATTTCTTTTATGACAGATATCTGGCTTGAGAACTCAGGTCAACAAGGACTCGCTGTTTTCTGAGAGCAGATAGCAAGGCAGCTAAGAAGGGAACACACATCACAAGACACGGTTTACACTGAATATAAGAAAAATGACCCCACAGTGGAAGAACCACATGCCAGTTTTAATTAAGACACATAAGATGAATAATCTTAACAAGTTTTAGTGTGTGAAAATTTATTATAGTTGACAAATACGCACTTTTTAAATAATTTTAAAAAGATTTATAAAGGCAAGTAATGAAATAGATTAGCGTAATTAGGGCACCTAATGATGGCACTATGTTGCCGAAATATGTCGTGAAGTAACAGGTGAAATTGAGTGCACTATAAGACGGCCACTGTATACATATCATGGAAGAAATTCAGTGCAACAGGATGCTAAAATACAACATTAAGGCAGAATATTCTGAATTAAACGGTAGAAAGAATTATCTGAATTTAATTGGCTCTGAACTTGTTTTGTCACCTGCTTTGGTTCTATGTCACTTAACAAGAGAATTACGGGATTGTGAATAATGAATTTGCAAGGATGTGGAAGACAATGGTCATAGCCTACTTTAAATTACTATAGCAAAACCATTCTTTGGCTAGCAGTGGAGCTGAACACTAAGTGAGGAAGTTCTTAAACAGGGAAAATAAAACACTGGCATTATTGACTTACAAACATTAAAACTGATTAGTAAGTGAAAGAAATATTTTAAACTGCTGTTCCAGCAGATTGGCATTGGCAGCAGAGACTGGGCAAACCACAGCCAGAATAGCTGGTCTACTGGCTTACATTCAAACTCATACAAAGTGGGAATGCTAACTACTACACTGCAATGCATAGTGTGGGCTTGCAACCACCCTGAGGGATGCCATTTCCTAAATTAACAAAGTAACATTAAATGTTAAAATCATTGAAATAATAGAGGCAGGGCTGTCTCCCACTTGCAGGGGAAATGCTGGCTAATACAGTTAGGATATATTAACATTCATGCCATTGAGCCAGTAATGTTATGAATACCTGCAATATGGTATTGTATGGCATGTACTTGCTCTTTCAGTTTCTATAACATAACTCCTGAACCAACTTTCTGATTGCATATATCCTTCCACTATCATGAACATTATTAACTTCAAGTTGGACCCCACTGTTGCCTCTGAATGTCATCTATAGAATGAGCTACATCTAGCAGTGGGAATACCAAACACTGTACATCACCTGACCTTGGCATTCATAAGGATAATAAAAATTACATCCACAAGTGTCCCAAACTATCTCCATAATATAAGGCATGATTTAGTATATATTATTTCAATTCCTTCTTGATTTACATATTTAACAAAAATTGAACAAAAATAAGTCAGCACAGAAGGCTGAGAACACATTACTTAGCAGTGAGAGGGTTAAATTCCTTATACAACCAAGAGATAACAGGAATGTGGCAAGGTCTTGTCATATATAAATATTCACAACATAGAGGAACCTTACACACAGACCACCTCTAATGACTGCACTCTAACACTATATGCTCTCAAGGCCTGCAAGTGGGTAACAGGAAATATCAAACAGTTTCATATTCTTGGTTTATATGTAAGCGTGACACAAATCGTTTGAACATCCATCTCGGTACAATCCTGTGGAGTCACCCCTACCACCATGCTCTTTCCATCATCCTCTCCACTTACAACAACTGCTTTCTTGCCACCCCTTCCTTCGTCTAGTTGGGAAGATTTCTTTTCGTCACTACCGGTACGCTGAGATTGAGTGATTATACCTGATGGCTGAGTTATGACTGGCTGAGTCTGTTTAGTGCCATTCTCTTTATTCTTGCGTCTGCTCGAACTACGGTTAGGAAGGTGGCGTGACTTGTCACTCCGACTAGAAGAACGATGAATGCTTGGACGTTTCACTGACTCTGCACTTGCACTCAAACCTGCACCAACTAGAAAAAGAATATAGAACATGCTTGTAGTAAAGTCCTTGGCCTCATTTTTAAAGAAAGAACATTATACTAACAACTGAAATACAAAGAAAAGGCACTAATATCTGAACTCTATATTGAATTATTAATCATCAATAGAGACAACATATTCAGCTTCTAGTCATTTTTTATTTATTTCTGTACCAGAAATGTATAAGAGAAAAACGAGGGACAGCAATAAAGTAGGACATCAGCTACGGAGAGACTCGGAGAGACATAATTCTGTCATAAGAAAAGTAACGGAAAATACTTTAATTAAATTTGTAATCTTGTACAAACTTGTTGTCAGTTCATGTAAGGTGCAAGATGTGTAATAAAGATTGTTCTGATAAAACATTTGCCTCCAATGTTTCCAGTTCCCAGTAAGTTCAAAGAGGGTCATGCTTTATCCTCGTTACTTCTCAAATTTCCTCTTAAATGTGACACAGGGAAGTCCTATACATACATGTAAATGTTGATTTTAATTTATTGTATGAAAATATAAATATCAGTACCTTAAAGAATAATGCAGAAAAGTAAACAGTTTTTACTTGTCTTGAAACAAGTACTTCAAAATATAAATACCTAGAAACAATAATGACAATTAAAAATGAGAATCACCACAAAACCAAGCTAACAACAAATTACAGACATGATTGTCTAGTAGAAACTATATAACACATATCAGAATTCTGCTGATAATCTTACAACAATTTTTGTGACAATGATTGCAGAAGAGTAATCAGGAGGCTCTGAAATAGAATGTCTACATAAGCAACTCCCATGATTCCATGAAAGTATACACAAAGGACAACATAAGACAGGCAGAATAAAGTAAAATAACAAAACACCACAATGACACCCCCCCCCCCNATTATTTTAATACATCAGCCAATGGATCACTACATAGCTACTCCAAAAAATATATTTGAATGTGCTATTAAATCCATGTTTGTGGAGTGAAGTTACTGGCACCTACCAATGTTTCCTGAGGAGGATCTTGTGTTGGACCCTCTCAATACATGGATGGACGTAGGATCACTGTCCACCGTGGTACATGTTACCAGCTTTCGCCCCTCGCTCCCATTGGCTGGTGTCAGGAACCACTCTGACCTCGTTCTCATCCTCGCTGTCTGACGCTCGTGAACCTATCAGGTACCAAGAAATTCAGTTCTCACCAAACATCGAATCTGCCTTTGGTATATTATCCCCATAAAATGATATGCCTAATTTTTACATGCTCAACAGAAAAGTATGAGAAATATGAATCTGCATGTAAGTTTAACATATGATACATATAGCACAGTTGAGAAAGGACATACAACAGAAAGAGGGTTGACAGACAAAAGGGAGAGAAACACAAAGTATCTGGCAGGAAGACTTATGATACTTCCTTGCAAATGTATTGTGACGTGGATACGTATGTAACTATTATTTTTTTTATTGCTAGTGGGGTGGGATTAAGTCCCTTGTACTGTGGCCACTTCTGGCCTATTGTACCAGCCGCAGATGATAGGTGAGGGTGATTGTGGAGCAATTGGTGGAATGAAGATTGGCAGGGGAAACCAAAGTACTTGGAGAAAACCTGCCCCAGTGCCCCTTTGTCCACCACAAATCCCACTTGACCAGACCTGGGATCGAACCTGGGGTGTCACGATGGGAAGCCAACGACTTGAGCTATGGTGCAGCCTGTTATGTAAGTATATAAGAAATATGGCAATTTAAATCAGCACATAAATTAGAATGAGTTATGTCATTATTTATGGAAAACACTGTGTTATGTTCCAATCTGCTCTACTAGGAACAAGAGCCCTTGCACATGTATGAAAAGTATAGTACTCCAGACAGGGTTTGTTATGTGCAACTTACCTGTACAAAATGACATTAATACAAAATCCCTCCTAAATGACTATCAGTTTTAGTTACCTAAACAGCAGTACAAATTCTTTGTGTTTCTAGTTTAATGAAGTAATAAGAATTCACATGAATAACATCTGTAACTACAAGGGTCAGGCAGAATCCAATACCTTCAACTTTTACTTCACACAATTTATTTGTCACCATTATGCTGTATGTAGCCACAGCATTTATACAGACTTGGTTATATTTCAACATGTTCCATGCCTTCTTCAGGTGTGGAACAAGAACATGTATCCCTACTCTCTTCTTCAGTGTTATCCTCATAATAATGTCCCTACTATGATTCCTTCAAAGAACCACAGGTAAAAATACAGAATGGGTAAGTCAACAGTTCATTTAAATTTTGAAAATTATGAAAAATACACCAACACCTGAACAGTTATGTGGAATACAGCCTTATGAAATTATGTAAGCCTGCTTATTATTGTGAATACTATTTTTTTCTTTTTGATACTTTACATTTTTGCTACCGTTATCAATCTTATTTTTGGGATATAGCTTAGATAAGAAACTGTCCTACAGTCAGGTATGTGTAGCATCTCATATTATTTTCTGTTACAAGATTCTATAGAGCCTTGCTTAAGCAAGAACTTACGTGTATATATACACACACTTACATATATATAATTCAGAACACAGCACTTCCCACAGACAGACAATATTGTTCTCTACAGTCTTCTCTTCCTATGAACTAAATTTTAAATTCTTGTTCTCCTGTTTGTGCAGCCAGCTTTCAGGTTTGAACCACAACATTTGCTGAAACCCTTGCAATGTTTAGACAAACACTTCAGTTTCCATCTTCAGGGTGAATGTCATGGATAAAGAAAAGTGATGATATATTTAGGTTTACCAATATTATCCATGCATTAACCATTAACAGAGTAGCTACACAAATAATCAAACAACCAGAGAACTGGGAAAGCTGATACAGACTGAGTAAAATCTGGGGTAATCTCTTTTCCATTGTTTTCCTTTCAAGCTCCAGGACCCAGCCAATTGGCTAGCATTCCAAACAGCAAGTTAACCCAACCTCTGTCTCCTTTTCACATCAGCCTTCCCAAAACATATCATTTTATATCACTTCTTTCCTTCTATACATGACATTTTCTCACAAAATAACTGCAAAGTTTGCTGAAATGCTGGAAAAATTTTTCACAGATCAAGTGGATCAAACTTGAAAGTCAGTCTCATACAATCAAATTTGATGTTGTTAATGATACCCTAAGATTCTGACTTCCTCTTCTGTTTGTGCAATAATTCAATGGCCAACATACTGTCATGATTCTGAGTGAGACTCTTGATGGGGTTTTGGATCGTAAATAGGATTTATTGACTGCTTTAACACGCAACTCATAACTACACTTCATTATAGTGCCATTGCTAATTTCCACACTTTTAAGTTCGCCAGAGCATATGCTAAGTATTTTTCAGCCGGCAGTGTCTTCACTAGTAGCTTACCAGTAATGGCTCTGGTACATTTGTTTATCTCACAGTTGCTGCCTAGTAATTGGTCTACATGCTACAATATCTAGAACATTTGAAGCTGTAGGCTATACACAAGGTATATTTCTGTCTAGCAACTATTTAACCTTGAAAAGCATTGATTACAATTATCTTGTGAAACTCCTCTCATCTTTGGGTGATATTATTCTGAACACCTATCTGAGGTCAGTTTAAATGCTATTTACTATAAAGGATTACCAAACACCATTACAAAACATATATGCCAACTTCATTCCTCATGTCATGGACTGTGAAGGTCTCACAAATAACATGTACTACTGGACTGGTCATGGGCTCAAAGGTAAAGGGAACCTCAGGCAAAACCATTTACATTTCATGGAGGGAAGGCATCTTAATTTTGAATATACCAGTTGCATTTTATGAAGGCTGAAGCAAATCTAGAAAGGAATTCAATATAGAGGGATAAAGAATATATAGAATGTAATTAATTTATACAGTAAAAACTCCATACCATGAACTTCTGTATCATGAAGAAATTGTCAGGTTTAGTGAGATACAATACAATACAATACAATACGTCAATCATTCACAAAGCAGTATGAAGAAAGAGGGAATTAAAGAAACATTTATTTTGCATGCATCTGGAATTACTGCACAAATTGCCCTCTTATATTTGGAACCCATAGTAGCTATTAATCATATATATTTTCAGTTTTAATAATAATTACAGACGAATACACATTATCTATTTCTAAAGTAATATAAGTCTTTGAGATGAATGCTTATGCTTTCCTTGCCAAAAATTCACTCAATATTGACAGCAAATCCACAAAGTTGGCAGTGTTCCTGTACAGTCATGGTGGCTAATGTCTTCTGGGTTGCGATGCCATGTAGTTTGGTAGGTACATACAGACATTTCTGTGGAAGCTATTGCTCCTATCTTCTTACCTTGAGGATGGAGCAGCAGGTTCCTCCAAAATACTGGTACCTACTTACCATACTACAATGCATTCATGTGAAGTCAGCTGTTACATAAATGTTTTCATGGGATCTCTAAAAACCTTTCACAGAATTCTACAGTTCTCAAGATACTGCTGTGATATGTGAACAGAGGTTACAGCTCCTACATAAACTAGTATGACTTTTTTTCATTTTCAATTCTGATATCAGATTTTATTTCTGATCACAACTTATTGTAGTATGGTGTTTTTTTTATTTATTTATTTAAAGATAAAAAAAGTAAAAGTAAGGCTATCCCTGTAACAGGCCGTGAAGGCCCAGAGGGTTGTGAAACAATAAGGTGGTAAGGTTGTCAGCCTTACGCGGCGGATACTTTATTAAATGCATGGGTTTTACACACCCTCACACTGGCAATGAGAATATGATTCATCATCATCATCAGTAATCTGTCAAGACGACAGGTCCACANTGCCTAATTGAGATAATGTGGAAGAATGCTGTCACAGCTAATTTTCTGGTACAATTTCAGAAAAATTCTAGGGTATTGAGGAAAAATCAACAAATAAACGTGAGGACATCCAGTCCTTGGTTTGACATTGAAACAAGGGACCACCTAGATCCAGTCAAAGGGGTGGGTATTAAACAACCTTTGCTGTTGCCTTTGCTTTGCTTTGATGTACTGTGCTTCCCCTGTCTCAGATCAGACCTCTAGTAATTTAACACTCTGAACAAAGTACAGCCCTTTGCTTAACGGGGGCCTCTTTATAGTCAGCTGGCTACATGAAATGGGGTCTGAGGTGATGAAACTGTAAGGACAACATGAATATGAAACAACTGTGATTATTACACTTGATACACTTTATGGTTTGTTCTATAGTTCCACAGCTGTGGAAGTCATGGGCAAAATTTTAATTTTATGATCTGAGTAGGACTTTTAGAAATTTGTTGAAAGGCATATATAATCAAGTTTAGAAACACACACTACGTCAGTTAGTTGACAAGTGTTTAAGTGACTTTTTCTGCTCATTATGTGTAAAGCCTAACACATGCACACAAGCAAGTGCAGGTGTTAGATGTCACTGCTGGCTTTAGTAACATGTTGTCTACATCTTGAAGTCAGACAGTGGTAAACAGTGGGAGAAAAACACATGACTTCTAATTTGCAACTGGTATTCCTTCTAAATGTGCTTGTGGTTTCTATCTGAAGGAACCATTATGCTCTATGGTTATTCAACATGCAAATATTTTGTTGCTTCAAGCACAACTATTATGAATCCAAACACCAAGTCACTATGTATTCAGCTTTTAGAGATAAAACATTCTGATAAAATATTATTCGGATTTAGAAAAATATGGTACTCTGCCTTAGGTTGAGAAAATTGGTCAACATACACAAAAATGTTAAGTAGGGAGAGAGAAAGGGGGTGGGAAGGGTTAAATGACCAGTCGCTAACCTTGTTTTGATGTCTGACCCAACCTCACCTGGGGCAGGTAGGACAAACTTTTAGTGCTCTCAGCATAGCGGTTCACAGCTCTAAGTTCCTCCAGTGTCATGTGATGGCTAGCTGTACTGCTGTTGGATGAAGATGGGCTAGACCCCTGCAGCAAATTCATAAAAATCAAGGGACTATTCTTAGAAATGAATAAGACGCTATAAAAAATGTGACATCCTAAGACTTCCCTTGAATGTTTATATTTCTTACAATATTACATCATTTCTACCAAGGTTTCCATTTACAGGTTGCTTCTGGGACAGATTCAGGCCCAGTTACATGTCAATATATATGTCTGACACATTTGAATTTTAAAGCATTTAAGAAGCTAGCTCAATCAGTGTAGTGACTAGGCTATGGGCTAGATGACTGGGGGTTCAATTCCTGGCAGAGGAAAGAGATTTTCTCTTCTCCGTGGGGTTCAGTACAGGCCCTGACACCCAACCAGTTTCCTATCCAATGGGTTACCAGGGATTGTATCCACAGGTGTAAAGTGGCAGGGGCATGATGCTGGCCACTCACCTCCATTTAGTGCTGACCTTAAGAAGAGCGGAGCCATACCTCCACTTCCTCATATACCTTAATGGCATGGTGCTTAATTATATAATTAAGTACAAGGATAATGTTACCTTCACCTGTCAAAAGGTGTGCAGGATCATTTACTTTTTCTTGTCCTTCTTTAACAGGGACTGGCACAAGGTCCATTTCCAGTTAAAAAGTAAAGCTATCCCTGTAACAGGCCCTGAAGGCCCATAGGGTTGTGGGACGTTGAGGGTCCCACATTATCTAGACAATCGGCTCAAAGATGGCGGTAAGGTTGTCAGCCTTACACGCCAGCCACACTTTACTCCCGAGGGAAATTATTTAATTAATTCCTGGTACTCATTTCTGTTAGAGGCTGAGTCGACCCCAGGGCCATAGTGCGGCCGGGAGGATTAGGTCAATTGAAAAAAATCCAGTGACCTCAACAGGACTCGAACCTGCGACCTTCCGTCTTGTAGCAGAGTGCCTTGACCAACTACGCTACAGGTTATGTAATATAAAATGGTAAAGCTGTTCCTGGGGGCTTAATTAATTGAGGACCATACCATGAAGATGTAGGTGGGAGTGGAGGTGCTATGACCCCACCATTCTTAGCCTCAGTACTGGATGAGGATGAGTGGTACGCTTTATACTCCTGTCTCATGGCTTTGTATAGGAGGCTCAGTGGGCCCCAGAGCCAGTCTGGATGTTATGGAGAACAGAAAAATCTCTTGCTCCTACCAAGAATCGAACCCCAGCTCTTTGGTCAACTGGCCCATAACCTAGCTGCTATACTAACTGAGGTATACTGGCTCCATTTCAAGTTACATATCCACTTTTAACAAACAGAATGGGTTTTAACAGGACACTATTAAAAGTGCTAAATTTTGGGGTTATAAAGAAACTTCTTCAGAATTCTGTTAATAAATCATATGTGCCTGTCTATCCTTTTTCAACTACAGATATGAATACTGTTCACTCAAACTGACCACATTTTGTGAAACTATATAAACACTGTACTTCTTTTGGCTTATTTTGGACTTCACCCATCGTCCGGTATATAAAAAAGACAAAAAACCACAACGTTTCGGAGACTGGATCTGTCTCTGTCTTCAGGTGTATAGGGAAGGTTTAACCTACTCAGTTGGGCCCCTTAGAAAGAGCTAGTCTCAATCACTGGACAAACCTTGATCTGTAGAAACAACCTATGAACAACCGACAACCGGTCCCGTCAGTGGGAGGAAAGAATAAAATCGCAGTAAAAACGTGATAGAAAATTTGTGCCAAACATGCACTTGTCAACAATGTAAAGAAACAGAAGTATGGGTTATATTCCATGAATTCAGTTAAAAACGAAAGTAAAAAACTGGATAAAGCATGCCTGATCTGCATGGATATACCGGACGATGGGTGAAGTCCAAAATAAGCCAAAAGAAGTACAGTATACACCATCGTCAGAATCCTTTCAAGTCTATATATAAACACTATTCTATTGGAGACAACCTCACTCAGTGATACACAATAAAGTACAGTACTAGCAGGCAGTGGTCCAGCTTATGACAATTCAAGTGACTGGCCTACCTTTGTAGCATAAGATAAGTAAGACAAACATGACCTACTTTGCAAAGCCTAGAATGACAGAGGCCTTGTATATAGTGTACAAGAAAGAATTTTCAAAAACATGCTATATGCAAGATACATACACTTGACAAGCTATAGACTATTCATAACAGGCAAACCCATCCTCTTATCAGATAAGACGTTACATAAGGACTATGACCACATGGGTTCAACCGCAAAAAAAAAATCTATGTTTGTTATCCTCAAGGGGCTTGGCACCAAGATGAACTGACTGGCGGTAAACCACCAGCCATAAAGTAACTCTGATGAGTTAGAGCATGATCTGCTGTGCCAAGTATAAGATTGATAGAGGCCTTGTATATATCATACATACATATATACAGGAGTTAAATGTAAAATTGTAAATAACATGTATCCACAAGGAACCGGATTCTTGACAATTGACTGACAATGTTGAATGCCAACATGTAGAACTGTAAATATAGATAACATATACTACTGACTACGACTGCAGTGATTGACAGACCAGTCCTCCCATCAGAGAGGGCACCCCACATCGACAAAACCGTAACTGTCTGACAGTAACATAAACTGGGTCTTGGGCCCCAGATGTGGCTTGACACCAAGCCTGACTGTTGGTTGTAACACAACTTTGACTACCAGAAATATGAGCAGGCACTGCCTAGAAATCTTAAAAACTGGGGATTTAAAAAAAGTTTCTTGCTGCCCACATGATGTAGTCTCCCGCCCCCCCACAGACTTTAAAAGGATAAAACATCTTAATGCCTCTTGTGTATCTTGAGGCATGTAACTTATTCTCTACCAGACGATGTGATGTTATCATGTGGAGATTTTAATGAGGATTTTACAAAGGCTCCTCCTGGGCAACATCAGTTGGATGATGCCACTCTGACAATATCACAGTTTCTCAGAGCAAAAGAGACTGCGTGAGAAAGTGGCAAAAAGGAGTGCAGATGATGAACGTTATGTACATGAGTGCCTTTACCTTTATTCAACTTTGTATTGTTGAGCCAATAAACGGACTGTTACCTTGAACAGGCCATTCTCTTCAAGACTGATGGACAGGCGAGTGTAGCTCTCTAGCAAGTTGTTCTCTGGGATGATGCCGAGAGACGTGCTAGGAACATCTGGATCATATCCCTCTGGGACATGAATCAGTGCAGGAGTTGACTGGCTCTCCTCTTGGTGGGACATTGCTGTAATATTCAAAAACACACTGTAATTATTTAGAAGCTAGGATTCCCTCTTACTGATTTCAAAAATGTAGTCAATTACATAAAATTCAGTAGACATGTTCACTACACTGAGTACCAAGGAATATATTAATTTATTAAACTACAATATGGCAAATAATAAATAATTTAACAAGTGCATATAATTCTTTTGATAATGAAATATGAACCAGACAACCGAAAACAATACCTATGATACTTTTCACACATTCCCATATAACAAGGATCAAAAATGAGAAGCAGTCAACGTAAGCTACTGCATTTGGTTTAAACTAAATAACTAGCTAATAGAGTAACCGAAGAGCCAGACAGAACAGGCAGTCTTAAAGAAGCAGATAGAATCAGCTATGAGGTATTAAATTAACACATAAGTTATGAAGTATTGTATTCTTATTGCGGATCTAATGCCTTCATTGGTATTCCAAGCCTCAATCCATCCCTATTCAGCACATAGAGCAAAACATTCAGGCTGAGTGCTCTAAATATGTTGTATCCTGATGTTTTCGGTCTGTGAGGTAGCTTTTACACAGTCTGCATGATTCTCAGATGGCAACACCACATGGAATTGTTTTCCATGGCCTTCTGAATGCAATAATAATGTATGTTTGTTAGGGAGACTGCCTCTGTGGTCTAGTGGTCAGAGCTCCTGGCTACAGGTCCATAGGTCTGAGTTAAATTCCCGGTGCTACCAGATTTTCTGAGCAGTAGTGGGTCTGGAACGGGGTCCACTCAGCCTAATGAGGATAATTGTGGAGCTATTTAAAGGAAACAGAGGCTCCAGTCTATAAAACCGAGATTAACAGCCGTGGGGATTTGTTGTGCTGACCATTCGACACCCTCTATCTGCTAAAGTTTGCACCAACTTCCCCGACAAGCCACGATCACTCAGTCGGTTAGTTCCCATGTGGACTAAAACCACAGAGTTTGTTTGTTTTAGTATTCCAATAAATATTTGAATTAGCGTCCATTTGTCTATAGTCCGTCTAAATTGCAACACTTTTTATTTTTCACTTCAATACACTCTCTAACACTACATGTTTCGGCCTCAAACAGCCACCTGAAGATAGCCGTTTGAGGCCGAAACATGTAGTGTTAGAGAGTATATTGAAGTGAAAAATAAAAAGTGTTGCAATTTAGACGGATTATAGACAAATGGAAGCTAACGTGAACAATTGCAACAGGATGCTGAAATACAGAACCATAAATATTTGAATGGATATGAAGTGAGGTGTTGCATTATGCACCTGTAGACCATAACCTCTAGCCCCCATTACTGTATGAAACATTCAGTCAGCTCCATTATTTCTTGTATTGAAATGGTGCACAGAAGTTACACATTGAAAATGGGTGTTCACGTACAATATTCATATGAAACAATAGGTGAAGGTTTCAGCATAAATGGCAGGATGTTAGTTACATACACAAACAACTGTTCAGTTGTACAGAACTATTAGGCTTATTTTGGACTCTATCCATCGTCTGGTATATAGAAGACAAAAAACCACAATGTTTCAGAGACTGGATCTGTCTCCGTCCTCAGGTGGATGGGGTAGGATAAACCTACCCAGTTGGGCCCGTTAGAAAGAGCTGTTCTCTACTGACTGGTCCAGTGATTGAGACTAGCTCTTTCTAACAGGCTCAACTAAGTAGGTTTATCCCGCCCCATCCACCGGAGGATGGAGACAGATCCAGTCTCTGAAACATTGTGGTTTTTTGTCTTCTATATACCAGACAATGGACAGAGTCCAAAATAAGCCTAATAGTTCTGTACAGCATACACCATCATCAGAATCCTTTCAAGTCTAACGGTTCAGTTGTAAACACATTTAGATGGCCAGGGTTGCTATTAGACAAAAAAGAACTGAACCAAAAGACGGAGCATTCAATGAAAAGGAATGGGATGAAATAGGTCCTTGGTTTGGAGAGGACTGGGATTTAAAGCTTCACGTTGCACATTTCAATTGCATGATGTGAACCTTTGATGGCAGTGCAAGGAATGCAGGGACAATTTATGGCATCTGCTGTGATCTGGGTAGGGTTTATCTGTTACATGTTGGCATTGAATGCACAGCAGATCTGAACACACCCAGAAAGGGTTGATAAAATCATGTCTCTCTTATGCTAGACTGGATGAGTGATTTGCAGTAGGCTCTCAAATAACCTCCCTGTACTTGTTCTTTTAGGCAAAGTTTCTGTTATTCAACTCTTTAAGCTTAAAATTCATCTAAATATTTAAAAATTCACTTCCTTCCTCACAGAAAATGCAATGTGTCTTCACTGGAAAAATCACACAATGCTGTTTAAGGATATAATCACTGTTCATTTTCAGACTCATAAGAAATGTATACATATACTGCACCAAGTGAAGACTTTTTAAATGTTTAAGCAAAGTGATAAGTATAGAAACCACAATACTTTCAAGGGCTAAGACACTTTACAGGGTTTCTCTAAGCATGAAGACACTCATACTGAGACAAAATATGAATTAATAACCATTTTCCATGACAGAGTAATAACTGTCTCAGCGAAGCATGTGTGATTAGTCTTCAGAAATATTAAGCAATCTTACTTACTTACTTACTCATGGAGCTGAGCCCTTCTGGAGGAGCTGCCAATTCTGCAGCTACTCAAGAATTTCCCAGCATTTTATGGAACCCGAAGGTTCATTACCGTGTTCACAAGTGACCTCCACTGGTCCCTATCCTGGGCCAGATCTATCCAGTCCATACCATCCCATCCTATCTCTCTCAGATCCATTTTATTATTGTTCACCCACCTACGCCTTGGTCTTCCCAGTGGTCTCTTTCCTTCTGGCTTTCCCACCAATATCCTATATGCATTCCTCGTCTCCCCCGTTCGTGCTACATGACCTGCCCACCTCATCCTCCTCGACTATATTAAGCAATCAAAGCATTAAAATAACAAAAGCAATTATTAATTTACAGTCTCATCATCTGAAACTGACAAATCACCTGTTAGTTCAAGAACACAGAATACTGTATTTTCATAGGGTACAATAAACAATGAACTTCTAATTTACAGATGTGCTACCAACCAATTAGACAACTGATAAATGTAATTCAGAAATAAACATCAACCAATAACATTATCCATAAAGTGGCTTGAAGTTAAAAATGCACATAAACAAGCACAACAAATTTAAAACAATAACAATTTTAAGAAAAATAATATTGAATATAAAATAAGAGAAAGAAACCTAAATTAGGACTGTAACATTAATCAGAATGTTGGCAAGAATCTACTGACTGAACATGAAATTATGAAATGTCTGAATTACCTTCCAGGTTGAAGTTGAGGCCCCATCGATCACACTCGTACTGCAGCCAAGTCTTCTCTGCCTCGAGTGAGAGCTGGCCTGTTGAAACATTACCAGCATCTAATTGTTTGCACACACACATATATGGGTTGGGCCAGGTTAAACAGGTTAAAATATCACTAGTGGTCATCAAAAACCCATTCATGCCTGTGTTCACAATAAGCAAACACCATAACAAAAATGCAGCAAGACTGAGTTATATCTGACAAGTCTAACTTTAACTATCCAATATCCAATTCTTGTATTTGTTGCTTTGAAAAATGATGGGACAGAAAATGTTGGAAAATGATGGCATTTTATAACCTCACAAACACTACCACATAGCACTGTGTAGTCCAGTAGACCTACACCAGCATTTCAGGGGGAACCTCCTGCCTCCATCATTAGGGTCTAAGTACCCAGCAAGAAACAGGTATAAAACTCTGTTTACTTTTCAGGCCCTGAAGCTGGAAGCAGTAGATTCCTCTGAAATATTGGTGAACTTCTACCAGATCACACAGCATTACATCCAAGAAGGTAGCAATTTTCAAAGTCATTTCTGTAAGAACTTCAAATCCAATACCACTCACAATTTATATTGTGTACTATGGATGACAAAACCATTTCAGTCTATTGAGTTGGTTAAGGAAGTTAAACCCCTCAAGCTGGTATCCCAAGTACGCCCTTGCAAGGCTATGATGTTCACTAACATTTAAATACTACTGCAGTGTAGAGGTAGCGGGAGTTTAAATGCCAGCTTAAGGGGTTAAGAAAGGACTCAAAATCATGTGAATATTTCCAATTTCTAATCTGAAGTTTCCAGTGTGAATTAATTTTATGATATCAAAGGAGTATGAAAGCTTATTACTAAACACAAAAGCTCAACAACAAAATCTATACTGAAGATTGTAGTTGAAACCAATGGCCAGTGTCAGAATAAATTTTCCATTGGTACACTTTATTATTATTCTGCACATGCTGCCATATACTGTGTATCCTTTTGAGGTGAATATTTTCACTTTTATACTGCATTCCAAAATCATCTACAATTAATTGCCCTAAAAGTTCTAAGCGAAAAAAAATATAAATCAACATGCTCCTCAAAATGGAAAGTTTCTCTTTCTCAGGGCCAGCTGCTATTTACGGAAACTTTTAGCATTTCTTCTATCAAAGAAATACAATAATTCAAACAAAAGTATGATTATAAATTACAATTTTCTACATGTAACTAACAACTGTATAAGATTTTGCTTGTTTTTATAGTTTTAAACTAGTGTCTTACATCAAGGTTCTGTGGAATACAATTGCCATATGAGGATCCTCAAATGGTTCTGAAGAGTTTTCTAGACCAAAAAAATTTAGTATTAAAACAGAACAGACCTTTAGGAACAAACAATTAATTAATTATGTGGTAGCAACATACAAACTATACTATTTCTACCACATAGTGTAAGAAATTAACACACTCCTTAATAAAATAAGTTTCAGATCAACAGTTTAGTCCTTTTATGGATATTTAAGATATATAATTTCCACATTAATTTTCCTGAACATGGACTGTGCAGTTGCCCACAATTGCATATTTTTATCTGGTTGCTGGCAGCATGGACTTTCTTTCCACTTCAAACTATGAGTACTTATAACCATGGGCACTGCACTGTGCAGAAAAGCCTGATCATTCAGCTGTGGAAATAATTTAAAAAGGCTGCATTATGAAAACATGAGAAACACAGTGACCAGAATCTATGATGTTGCCAGCATCCCATGCCATTTAGGTTGGCTTATTTCTTTGCATGAAATTTCACAATTTCTGGTTTCAATTAAAGAATCCTAGAGTCTAAAACATAGTGGAACCTCCATTTAATGTTCCTCAATTTAAGTGTTTCCCTCATTTAAGGTTTAATTTCAATGATCCCAAGTCTATAATCTTGATGTTAAAATTTCCACATTTAAGATTTTCTTCTCTTCAGTGTTCAAATCCAATGGCCCAAAGGAAACCTTAAAATGGAACTTTCACTGTGTTAGTAAATTCCTGTATTTTGAAGGTGACAAAATTAATTAATTGATTACAAAATCAATGACATTCAGTCATTCAGATTATACAATATGTATAGTGGTATGGATAGTGAATAATGAATATGGAAGGCTGTGGAAGGACGAAGTCATAGTTGAATAACAAAAGGCTTCTGTCCAACCACCTTTTTGCTGCTAATTTTGATATACAATACATATTTAATAATTATAATATAGTATTAACTATCTGTGGACAGAAGATATTATTGTGATAATACAGCCATAACCAGAGAATCTGACTGTCAATGAACTGTACACACAGTTTCCTCACATGTTATAAGACAAATGTTCTGAACTTTATATTTCATGCCAATTAATATATTAAACAAAAGCCTTGCTGAAGGCCTATCATTATCACATCTCTATTTAAAATTTCTTCCACATCACTGAGAAAAACTGCAATTCTAATTCATGTTAGAGAAATGCACAGTAACAAATCACAGAAAAATTGAATTTAGATGAAGCAAACAGTTTTTATAACTAATGAACAAAAATTTGTCACCTGCTTTGTGGATTTATAAGAACATCATTATGTGTAACTATTTGAACCTGAATGCTTGAGAAAACTAGTTTGCCTATGAGTCACAACTGCACAAATCTCTCAGACTTTTCAGTGCTTTAAAATATCTGACCTCATTAAGAAGTTAACCGGTTTTGAAATTAAAATCTTATTCAATATGACACTGGTAATCAGTGAAATTACAACACACTGGGTAAAGAAACACTCATATATGAGAAAGGAGCATGCTTATATCACATACCACAGTATCAAATTTTGTTATTCTTCCAAAAAATGGCTCAGCACATAAAAGAGAACAAACATGGCACAAGTGACAGCACCTGTCTATTTCCCAGATGTGTCTTAAAACACAATGTAATAAAATAATTAAAGTATTTGATGTGTCTGTCTCTTGACAGCATTCCCATTTGAGGGCCCCAAAAATGAAGTTACCAAACTATTACTGTATATATATTCCAAATGGGGAAGGGAGTGGGGAGTTACTGAAAGTGCCTGTTACTTCTTTGGGTATTCCACAGAATAAACTGTACTGAAGAAAAACAAATTTTGAATATTTATGCCTATTAATCAATGTTATAGTTCGCTTGCAGACTACAGGCCATGGAGTTTGTTTCTTGTAATTAGTCTCTGTCATGGCATCATATGGTGATCAGTCCATGCATTAAACAGCTGCAAATCAATGGAAAAAGCAGCAAATACAGATTGTGTTTGCACTATTAAAATAAAAAACCTATCAAGAAGACCAAAGTTGGAGAAGCAGAGAGCATTGGAAGAAAGGATTTTATTCATGAGAAGAATAACACAATAAAAAGTAAGGTGGTTGCAACATTTTAGAAGAATTAAGGTTTCCCATTAATTCCATTCTTGTGTTGTTACATGTGGATGTGTATGATGTTGTCTACATATTCGAGGAACATGCTGCCTACACCTTCAGGGTCAACCCTGCAGGCAGAAGCAGCATGTACCTTTGAAACAGAATTAACATCAATAATTAACCACTGTGAAAACCTAAAATCAGTAATTCCCATATTCCAAGAATAATCTATGAATACTATCCCAAGGGAAGAGACACTGAACACAGAGTTCCTACAGAGATATTTTTTAATTATTTGACAAAACTGTAAGAATTATATTAGGGGCCGGAACCAGCTAAACAGTCACTCCAGGGATATGCACTGAGCCAAGTGCCATATCAAGACAAGCCCCACCTTGGAATAAAGGACCAGCAGAACATGACTCTTGCATGTCAGAGATAACTATGGTGGACTGATGAAAAGTAAAATCTCAAGAATAATGAAAACACCTCAGCCCCAGTGTTCCTTTAGCCACCAAAAATACCATGGCAACTGCAGTGGACTAATAAAACCCAGGCCACTCAGTTAAGACATCGAAGTATAACTGCATGTCATAAATTAGATTAATTTAATAACTGATTAACATTTTACAACATATGAAGTTATAATGTGAGATATATTTCTTTATGAAGTGAGTGTTCACAGTAATTGCACAGTCCTACACCAACTAAGCAATGAAACATGTGTTAATTCATATTAATTGAAATGCAGGTTCTCTGGATATCATGTGAAGCTATTCATATTGGTCTGCTACATAAAAGATAAGCAAAGCAAAATTACTTTAAAATAAAAAAACACACACAAATAAAAATACTTCATATAATAAGTTATGTAACACAGCATAATCATATAATGTGAATTAACAAAAAGAAAATGACCTGACATATAACGTTCTTAGTTTTATTGGCCACAAGACTAGATAAATGCATTTTACTTCAAAGTTAGGAACTCAGTAAGAAAGTAACAAGGCACAGAAATAGGAACAAAGAAAAATAAAATTACAACTAAAATTACAAACAAAATAGTGTGAAACAAATTTGAACTTCAAGTAACTTTAATAATAAACTGTACTCAAAATATGGACTACATGACACAACCAGGAAATATTTTAATAAAAGACTAATGAAGACTGGAGAGCTAAACATGCACAGGCAGACAAATGAAAAGTAGAAACATCAAGTAGTGTATGTAAGGGGTGGTCCATAAAAACCGGCCCCTACACTGCGACCTTCAATGATCTATTGTGCTTCCCCTTGGATTAGCCCTTTATTAGTCCTACACTTTTAAGGAAACATCAAGTAAATGGCATACATAAATTATTCCTTATTTTATAAAGGTCTTCAGTCTGAACATAGTATCATAACTTTATTCTGCATAAATTCTTTGAGGCAATTTATATTTCTGAGAATAGGAAATGCATTAAAAGTAGTAAATTATCACAAAACTACAAATTTCAATACAGAATCTAGCTTTCACAAGAGTAAGCATTGGTTCTCAAACAGTTCTTTTTCTCTGCAACTAACATTTTCTATTATTCCCTAGTCCAAATTTTTGTATATCTCAAGAATGATGAGTGATCTGTAGTCATGCTATACGGCAGTCTATAAGTGTTCCTCCACCATTAGTGTCCGGTTAAATGCTGATTCATGCTGTCATCTGTAGCATCACTAGCAGATACTCACGAGAGACAAGAGTGGCTGGAGGATACCGGAAACTAAAAATCCAGTCTTCTTCCACCTTGAGAATGCGTCCAGTGATCCGAGCATAAAACTCGTAATTCTCCCGTCCGAACAGGTTGCTCACTCCAAAGTTGTCAATCAGGAATTTCATGATGCGTGTGGCAACCTAAACAGAGGCCTTGACATTGAAATCTAAATTACCAGTAGGAAGAAAACATGAGACAAGAGTCTGCACTCACTAAAATAATATGCTCTCTACATCAATAGTTCTCAACCTCTGTGATAAGCTGAGTAATTTCTATGAGAATGTAGCTCTTCTTTAGTGTCTAGCAAAGAGATATGAATTTTTAAATTGTTTATGATTTGGCAACTGTCATAATTCTGTAGGGCCTGCATTATCAACAAGATAATCAACAATCATTTCATTCTGCACTTCTGTAGTAACGTACATACAAACATATTAAACAAAATACAAAAATCAGAAATTAAGTGACAGACTATCTCTAGCCATTACTTCCGACAGAGTAGTCATAACATGCATATTTGTACCTTTCGTTCATTCTCTCTATGAAGTGCATGAAATGAATACGTACTGGGAACACTGTCTTTTGGTCCATTTATTCACTCATGTTTCATTTTTGAAACTACCCAACCAACCATGTCAAAATTTAGAACAGGCATATATACAGCATGCTGCCAGGTAAATTCAATTTTGTCAGGCTGTACTGCTGATATTTTTGGGGCTGTTGCTATCTCCATTTTCAAGGCAAGTGACTATCCTACGGCCTTCAGAGATATTTATATTACATGCCATCTTCTACTCTGAAGATGGAGGCAGTAGTTTCTTCTGAAATGTTAGCAAGCACCTATGAATGTACACAGTGTCATAATACAGAAGACCAAAATCTTAATCTTCAAGTCTGTGACTACCTTAAATCTCATTAAAATTCTATATAAAGAGATGAAAAATTCCAGAGTGCCTTTCAAATCTGAACACTCTCATATCGAGCACACTTGGATTAGTGTAAGTTCACTTTATGTTAGGTTACACAAGGACACACAAGACAAATAATGGTAGGGTAGGGCCCAGCTATTAACCAGACATTTCAGTAAACACCAATAATTTTAACATGTACATTAACCATACTTATATAGCTGAGATAGGCTGTTTGCATCAGTTGTATAAACACAAACTTGGGGGGAGGGGGGTGTCACTATCATTTGAATGGGTCCAAAATGCATGATGACACACAAAAGGTTGAGAATCATTGCATAACAAATTAACAATCATAAATTTAGAGAACAGAGATTCCATTTGCAATGTCAAAAGTGAGAAAATGGCCTGAACAAGAGCATATGAAGGTCAGTAACTAATGTAGCGAGGTTTCCGATGTAGATAGCATAATGTGATTTGATGTAACATTTCCTCTGTCAGTACTGTAAAATCTGAGTAACATTTCTTAAATCATGAACCTTCTCTTTTTGCAAGATACATGGGAAACCTGTAATGTAATTGCAATATTACACCCTTACCAACTTTATGAATAATAAGACTATCAAAATAATAACTATTCCATATGTACAGTGTAATCGTTACTCATTAGAACAATGCACTGCACAGCTCAGACCAATGAATCTGTCCAGTCACTTATATTAACAATCTTCTGGATGGTAATGCATGTTAGCACTATATATCAACTGCATTTATTCAAGGCCATTATTAGATATTAATTCAGGAAGAAACTTTAAATCACAATGTTCAAAGCAAGACAAATGACTAGACAGTTCATGTTGAACATTACATCAGATTTTGTGGAAATCACGCAAAGTAGGGAGTAGATGTAAATATGAGCACAGACACATGTAAATGTGGGCTATCTACACCCATACACACATAAAATAACAGAACACTTTACAAAGAATACCGAGAATATCTCAAATGCATACATTTCACAGACTGGAAAGAACACTACTAGGTTGAAGTGACAAAAAACTAAAAAATGAAGCTGAGCTCATGCATGCCAATTTTAGACAGCGTTTTCTGAAGAATTTTTAATGCCTGTAAATAGTAAACAATATTTGCACTCATTATTCAGTGGTTTAGATAGGAGGTTGATATTGGCTCCACACTTTGAAAACAAATGGATCAGTTCAGGTTAAGAGAAGCCACATTGTAAACTGGAACAGACCAGCCAAAAAAATTATCAGAGTTGAAGTCTTGGCACACGTAGCCTCCTACACAATGGGTAATAGTGGCTTTTTCCATGAATGCTGAAGTGGCCTGAGTATGAAGTGAAGCTGACCATTCGTATCCAACCGTTCAACCACCAAGAAAGTACAAAGTTTTACCTTTAACATCACTACAAATCATGACATGATACTCAACCAAACAATTTTAATTTTACTTTAATTCATAAAAGTAAGCACTGAGTGAGTGAGTCTAGATTACTCAGACGTGTTTGAGAATGGGGTGCCAAGAATATTTTAACCCAGCAGGAATAAAGTTACAGGGGGCTGCAGAAAACTGCATGAGGGGCTTCATAATTTGCATTCCTCGCCAAGTATTATTAGAATTATCAACTCGAGGTGGATGAGATGGGCATGGCATGTGGCATGCATTGGAGTTAAAAAATGCATGGCCCTTATAGCAACATGATGGAAGGGCATTCTTAACCTCAGCACCACATGGAGGTGAGTGGTCAGCTTTATGTTTTGGATGCAGTCAAGAGAAAAATTTCTGCATCTGTCAAGAACTGTACTACAGTCATCAAACCTGTAGCCAGTCACTATACTGACTGAGCTATCCACTAGTGATAGCTATTCATGTGATGCAGATATTGTGATCCAATAGTTGGGCATTCATTTGACAATTTCCTACAACACGGTACGTGTACCTCTTGTTTCCCTATCTCATCATCCTCAACTAACCACCCTAACAGTACTGATAAAGGCTTTACTGTAGCCAGTCAAACGGTTTTAGCCAATGGGCTGCAGCTGAGATAAAGTGGGCCTGAAACAGAACAAACTGAATCATCCCTGATTTAAAGAAATGGAACCTAATTGCAAGAGAGAATTAGGGATGTTACAAACATATTGCCAATATTACACAACACAGGTAACATGACACAAAGCCCCACTTTTATTCAATACTGATTAATAATGAAATTCAAATAAAGGTTAACATATTGTCATGTGTAGGGCATAACAATATTTACTGTGAGATATGCTTATGGTACCTTAGAGGAAACCATGGACATCCTTGAAAACTCTAAAAGAGGACTTTGCATGAATATGCTAGAAAGATAAAGTACATAATACATAAAAAAGTAAACTAAGGATACCAATTAACCCTACTGCTGTAATATTTGGGTGAAGTCAAAATACAAGCATCCATTACTGTATAGTGTGACATTTGACTTTGATTCACATCAAGAAATAATAGTCTCACTGCACTGCATCATTTTACTTCAGTCACTGGGTTATCAAAATGCATTTTATATTTCTCCCCCCCACATTTTTTACCAAAAATTGTATTATTTGGGGGAAAATGGTGAGAATACAATACATAGTGAAAAAATTACTGATACATTCTAGCCAATCCCACTTATGAAAACCTCTGTAATTTGGCAGATACGACAGCCTTCTCAGACATAATCCCTTCCACTACCCCCCTTGTCCCCCTTCTCTCACATCTAAGAGAAAATGCCATTAGAAAAAGACCTCAGTTGTGGAGAAACAACTCCTGGATCGTCCATCATAACAATGGGCCAGTTCATGCATTGTTACTGATTTGTGACTTTTTGGCCAACGCGAACATAAGTGTGCTTCCTCAGCCACCCTACTCACCTGACTTGGCTCTGGCAGACCTTTCCTTATTTCCCAAACTGAAATCATGAATCAGTAGCGATGCATGAGCTGGTGCATTGTCATGAAGGAGGAACCAGGAGTTGATTCTCCAAAACTGAGGTCTCTTCCTCCTAATATTTTTTCCTACACGTTTCAGCACTTCAAGATAATACCAGTGATTCACTGTTTACCCTTTTCATAATATTTCATGATGCACAACACCCTCGATGTAAAAAAACTATCAACATGACTTTCATGCCCATGAATATCAGCCATCTCGAATATCGCAAGACACACTCCACACGCACATCAATGAATAGCTCTAGGGCTATAACTAATCACACCAGGATGATGAGGCAAAAAGGATGATAATTAGGAAGCATGCCACTAGGCAGCACAAGTTACCCAACACTGCTAGACGTCGAGTTCTGGAACTTTTTGAACAGACCACATATTTAAACTCCCATCTCACCAACAACAGCCAAGTCAAATATTGTCTATGTGAGGATATCAAGCACTTTAAATCAACACCAGAATTAACTACATGCAGCTGTCTCTAAGACATACTTCTTTAAGAGTAACCAAAGGAAAAATACATGATTTTTTATCATTAGTCTCCTCTAACTCTAAATGTAGTGTCTTTAATAATGTAAAAAACAGAATAATTTCTGTGTTCCTTCAATATCACTGAGACCAAACTGTGTCAGGTGGTTAGTAATTCTGTTTTGTGTTCAAGAATCTGGGTTCAAATTTTAGTAAAGGGAAACAATGTCCAAACTGAGATATTCTGTAGTTTCCATTAGCCCTTTGAGGCAAATGCTGGGATACACCATGGTGAATTTCTTCCCTATCCTTTCCAACTTGTTATTCACTAATCTTCTAATAATTTGACAATACATAATCTTGGCAACTGGAAGCACTATTAAATAAATACAGAATAAATAAATACAAACTTTCGAAATAATTCATTTTACTTAGGGCAGTCTCATGTATGCAAAATAAAGTAAAACATTTCCATACACTGCTTTCCTTCGTTAAACCTGCGTACTTACAATATTTTCCCAAATTTTCACACACATTCAGAACATCTCTACTTCAATGAAATATACTCATAATAATTCTGGGCAATGCAGTTAAATGCTACTCATGGGCCAATCTTCCTTCAAATTTGTAGTCCTAAGGTTACATAATGACTGTTCTATTCGGTTCTGTACTGGAAAACTAACACGCTTAATGAAATCCACTTCTCTCCATAGCCTTGCAATCACAGACATGCCAGTCAATCTGCATTGCAATATTTTGCCTACTTACCTCCAAACAAAAGGGGTACGCGGTAGAATAGTGGTTAAGGTACTATGCTACAAGCCAGAAGGTCGCGGGTTCAAGTCCCGATGAGGTCATTGGATTTTTTTTTTTCAATTGACCTAATCCTTCCGGCCGCACTAGGCCCTGGGGTTTACTCAGCCTCTAACAGAAATGAGTACCAGGAATTAATTAAATGATTTTCCTGGGGAGTGAAGCACGGCCGGCGCATAAGGCTGACAACCTTACCGCCATCTCTGACCCGACTGTCAAGGTAATGTGGGACCCTTAACATCTCACAACCCTATGGGCCTTCACGGCCTGTTACAGGGATAGCTTTACTTTTACTTAATTTTATCTCCAAACAAAGCTGATGTCTTATGTGAACTATACAAAACAATACACAAGAGATAATAAGTAAATACAACTGTTTCACATAAAGCACTGAACATACAGAAGGCATGACGAATGCAACACAATACTCATGCAGGACACATGACCTACACTCTACTAAATGACCAAACCTACTCTAAACTTATAACAAAAAACTTCACACGTTATGTATACTAATAAGACACAAAAAGAGAGGCAGAGACTGACACCAGAACTGCAATCAATTGTAAATATGTACTTACACTAACTTCAGCCTGCCATAGGATTCAGTGTCATGATGGCGGAAAGAGAAAACAGCAACCAGAACTCAAATAACAAAACTGTGCTTTGTTAGGTTACCGAATGTTTTTATAGCTAAGATGTAATTTTATCTTTCAATACTGCCTATTACTGAGTTGAAACAAATTACAGATCAATATATAAGCTAAAGAACTATGTGGAGTATGAATTATTCTTAAGATATCAACAGCCAATCACCTAGACAAGAAATTCCATCTTTTATGGAATCAAAAAGTTCATTAGCATGTGAGATTTCAGATTCTCAGAACAGGGACTATGAAGAGTAACAGTAACACTTTTAAAGGTAGGTTAGATAAAAGGGGGTACGTGGTAGCATAGTTAGTTGAGGCACTATGCTACAAGCCAGATGGTCGCGGGTTGAGGTCCCGATGAGGTCACTGGATTTTTTTCAATTGACCTAATCCTTCCAGTTGCACTATGGTCCTGGGGTCGAATCAGCCTCTAACAGAAATGAGTACCAGGAATGTTCCTGGGGGCTAAAGTGCAGCTGGCGGGCAAGGCTAACAACCTTACCGCCACCTGTGAGCAGATTGTCTAGATAATGTGGGGCCCTCAATCCTATGGGCCTCCGAGGCCTGTTACAGGGATAGCTTTACCTTACTTAAATATAAAATGCTCAAAAGTGCTACAAAAAATGCACCAAAATGGTAATCTGGAAGCTATCGAATTTGTTTGAGATTCTATTACAGCCCCACCCATAGGAAATGTGGCTCCCTTGATGCAGGAGTCACAGTATTATCACATGCCCATACAACGTAAACTGCGGGTACATAAATAAGAATCAATTAATCTGAATGATTAACTTTTGTTGCTGCATGTCAGCGGCTGTTGTAATGGTGATAACATGAATATTATCAATGAATATCACAATACGATCAGGTAACGGCAACATTCCAACATTAAAACAATGAAAAACTAACACTCACATATTTAGACCTTGGGACTGTGTGAATATCATGAATGACTTTACATCAGGCACATTAATGAACCATGGCTCAATATAAGGTACTGAATCAGTATCATACACACCACACCAACACCACTTTGACACATTTCAGCAATATTTATATTCACATCTCAGGTCAAAAAACATTCAGTAAACATAAATCTTCATTCATGAGATGTTAACATTACATGCTGGAAGCTGAAAGTTGATTCCACTATGTGGGAACCAAAAAACTAAGGCATAAATGTACATAAACATCCTGGTGGTATTGTAAGTTGTGAAAACAGCAACAAGATTATGGTGCCTATATAATTACACTAAATAATGATTATAAAAATATCTTCATAAAATACATATGCTTATTATTTTTAACCAAGCTTCCTGTTAAATTTAAATACCTGTATATGTACACTACAGTGTTGTGAGCAAGGCAATAACCATTACTAAGTTATTTATACATCATGCAATTAAGTCCTGACAGGCCATGATTACTTTACTCTTTAATAAAGTGAATTTAGGACTTGGCAGAAAGGCAAAGCAAAACGTGAAGCACTGCAGCTGAAAAATGGTTTACTCATAGCCCAAGAACTGCTCTGTCTTGTGTCCACTGGAAGCAGTTGCATATAGATGCTTGCCTACAGAGCAATGCCCACTAGATATGGATAACTGAAACTAGTGACCTGAATATGTGATCTCAAACTTTCAATGGAAACAGAACAAAACCAAGTCTTTTCAGGTGATCAGTCATGTCACTGAAGAGTTAGTGTCTGACATTTGAGAGACTGTCCATCATCACAGGTTGTTGTGAGAATATGACACTTATCATATCAATCCTTGATTGTGGAGAAAGAGTCTCTGAAACATAGGACACTAACTCAATAGTGACAGAGCTCATCATCGAAGAAGACTTCATTGTAAGAATCTGAAACTCAAACAAGAATTCTGAAAATATTGCTCAGTGAAGAGATATCAAAAATGAGTTCTCTTTCTTCACATGTTCCTTGCCTGCTGACATAAATAATGATTATGATTGTCAGTCATGTTCTGTGCTATGTACACTAAGTATGAAAGTGAAGTACCTACTGTATTTACTAACCCAATTTATACACACTTCAACCAAAAATTTGTGTTTTAAAGTTGTGGGGCATAAAATATGTGAATACTACATTTTGAGAGTATAATTTTACATGTTCAAATACAGTTGTTAAAATTACAGCTGCATAATATTTAGAAGACAATTTATTTGAGGAAAAAGGATGATTTACAAGAAATAGCAGTATGCCTGTGAGCTATTCAGGACAACTAGCCTGAAGGAGGGAGCAATGTAGTATGCTGACCTGCTGCCAGGCAATGACCATGAAACAGACAACCAGACAAAGGCCATTATTAGGCAACAGAGGAAAGAGTGTTTTCTGTGTTGTCCATGCCAAGGGCAGTCAGTCAGTCAGTCAGATGAGTTGATTTAAATGATTGGTGAATGACTGAGTTAGTCAGAGAACTGCTGAGGTTCAGTCATTGGGAGCAGTTGCTGTAAGAAGCTGGTAGATGAGGCAAGGGACAGTTCAAGAACCCAGAGGAAGGGGAACGTCTGCCATTGGAAGCCGCTACCAAGCAACGGCTAGTGCAGATGTGACTGTAGACACTAGTGTGTGTGTGTGTGTGTGTGTGCATAATAGTGAATGTAAAGTGTAGTTACGCACTGTATCAATGAGTCCAATAAATACAAACCCCATCTTGAGTCACACCAATACATGTGACAATACCAAATACTTTCTAAAAGATATCAGAAATTAATAATAGAACCTTATGAACATTTATTATTTTGAATACTGTCTGTACAACAAGGAATATGGGCTAATTATTTTCTTGCTGCAGCGCCTCTGGGCCAAGCATTCCTCTGTGACTTGACACTATATCAACAGTTTGCAGGCTACCTAGTAGACACACACACTCAAACAAACATTCAGAATGAGTGAACACAGATATGCAAGCTGTTACTACGTCTGCTTACCTTGAATCTCATTACATCTTCCATTTTTGCAGTTTTACCATCACTAACACAACTCTGGAAGAAACTGGGAGCAACTGAAACACCTAATGCTTCTGACGTCATTCCTGTTCGTGCCCTTTCAGCATTCGTTGCAATCACACGGAATGTCCCAAAAAGGAGCACTAATAACCGCTGGGTATAAGTTGGTAATGATGTAATTAACCTGGGAATGGAATGAAATTTCAAGCTTGTTACATTGTAACTTTTCTCTGTATAAGGTTCATGTTTAATTAAAAAAGTTTCACTAACTCAAAATATGACTTTTATTTCTGAGAGAGCTTCATAATTCACCTGTTGCTTGAGGACAACTTTAAACAGAACGTTATCATTTTTTCTTGCAGGATGTAATGCCATGCAGTGTTGTAAATAGGTTCCACAGAATAATTTGATTTTGTTATACAGCAAAGATAATTTGGTGATATTTGTTTTAAAACTGTTCCAGTGACTAGCTGTTATGTACAAATTTTGAATTTATTTCTACCATTTATTACTCTTGCAGAAGAGCAAAATGTTGAACTACATAAAATGTGAGATTTAAGTTTCTTGTAATGATGACTGTGAAAAGTATATTAATTTTGGAAGTGAAGCCACACAGTCTGGTGGATATTCACCATTATTTCAGAAGAATGTGCTATCTAAATTTTCAGGGTCAAATCACAATAAGGGAACTCTAACCTATGTATCTGGTCACGTTGCTCCTCAATTGTGGGCAAGTCAATGACTGCAAATAGCCTCTGCTCTCCACCTCGACCAAAAATACCACCAGGAATCTTGCGCAGAAATTTCTTGAGCACAGATGCAATAGTGTGGACTGAGAAATTGTCCAAGTTAACAAGACGGCCTGCCTGTAGGAAATGGATTAGCTTCTTCATGTTTCCCTGATGACCAGGTGCTCGGAACACATCTTTTTTGAATGGAGCTTCTTTGTTGAGCTTCAGGATCAAAACCTAATTACAATATAAAACAAGGTACAGTATGTAAAATGCAGACAGTCTAAGCAAAACATATTCATTGACCTCCATCACTAACACTTCCAGTCTCCTCATTATCTGCCAATTAGTTTGTCTTTCCTTGTAATACTACACTATGTACTTTTTGTGTCTGAAATTATTAGAAGTGTCATCCTTATTAGAAAATTCAACCTGTATTCCCATTCTGAGATCCTCGCTTTATTATACCACACTGTCCAGCTTTTCCATCTGCAAGTATCCTATATTAACCACTTTGGGTTCACCCAAATGCCAGGGGCACGAGGATTCCAGAGAGTTCATGAAGCATTTTGACCAAAATCAATATTATACAAATATATTACATGAAACTATTTTTACAATAGCTCAGCAACAACCGTTCTGTGATCAAGCAAGGCTAACACTGAAGTGGTTGACAACACTATACTCAAATGGGCAACCAAGCCATAAGAGATAATTTGCGGCAGAAAATATACAGACTGTTGTACAAGTCATCAAGTTATGACACTTCACCACTTCTTAAGAAAATTTAGTAATTGTCCATTCATATACACATTATGTTACTATATTTTGCAAGGTGAAGATTGCAAAGTCATTAGCTTGATCTTGGGGAACGCAGCAGCATAGTTGGTTGAGGCACTATGCTACAAGCCGGAAGGTTTTGGGTTCGATTCCTGGATTTTTCAATTTGCCTAATCCTTCCTGCCGCACTATGACCCTGGGGTCAACTCAGCCTCTAACAGAAGTGAGTACCATGAATCTNTCTTCGGGGGGGGGGGGCAGCCAGCGCGTAAATCTGACAGCCTTACTGCCATCTGTGAGCCAATTGTCTACACAAAATGTGGGAGCCTCGATGTCTCACAAAGCTATGGGCCTTCATCGCCTGTTAGAGGGATAGCTTTACCTTTTTTTTTTATTGCCTCGATTTTACATTACACTTAGCACAAATGTCTGATGACGTGGTGGGGACCTGTAATCCTTCACTAACTGAATGATTGCAGCCATCCAGACTACTTACCAACAGTGGACCAGGAATGTCATTCTTGCAGACCTCATCCAAGGGAATGCCAAATTTGACTCTGAAAATATGTACATTTACAAATACTAAACAAACATTTTGCAGATACAGATAATGGTCAGAGTTTAAAACAGTTATACATGAGCTGAAATTATGTTTTCTTAAACTTCACTATTAACTTACTGTCTGAAAGGGTCTGGTTCAGGTTCAGTCAATAACAATTACACTGTTTGTTAGAGTCAGCAACAAGAAAACCTTATCCAGCCAAAACATCAGTTTTATTCAAATTGCAAATAGATGCAAGATTTCATTAAGTTTTGAATTATCAGTCCAACAAAGCTCAAGTTTCTGGTTGGATCGTCATTTTTCATAATTAAATTCAATAATCCAAAGCATTATAAGTGTATTTGACACATTACAGAATGTTTCTGAGCACAAAAAAAAAATCATAAATTTGTACATAACGTAAGCAAAAAACTTAAAAACTGACATCATCATAAATTGGAACAAATGCCATGACTTTAAGAGTTGGGATGGTTCAGCTTGTATACTGACTATGCTATGGAAATTTTTCTCTTCTCAATAACATCCACACAAACACTGGAGCCCACCCAAACTCCTAAACAATTGATATCAGGGGCTGTTTCAGAAGGGGCATGAAGCTGGACTCACTGACCTCCATCTAATGCCACAGTTAAGAATGTTACAGCTACACCTCCACTCCCCTGTATGTCTTAATGACATAGTGCTTAACTAATTAAGTACAGAAACAACTTTATCTTATACACAAATTTCTGAACCAAAACATAATCATGTATTTCTTTCAAATCACCAATTAGCTGGCACATTTAGGCCTGTAATACATTACATATCCGTCTACCACACTAGCAGCAGTACCTTTTACCTCCCTCTTAATTTTGTTGTGAAATGTAATTTTGATTTGCTACTGTTGTTTCCAGAACTTTACCACATTTTGGAAGGATTTATTAATTGAGATTCTGCATACAACAGTAAACAGCTACTTTTCTGATACAGTATAATCTATCTGGTTACTAGCAGAACTGCTTATTTAGTCAGTCTGTGCATCATATTTTATTCTGCCATTTGTGGTCAGCCTGGTCACCTGTTCCAGAGCCTGCTCTGTGTTGAAATAAAGCTTTACCAGTACAATACTCCATTTCACTCACAAAAGGAACCTGTATTAATCACATTATCGGAAGAACTGAACATCTGTTAATTGCTGGTATTTCAGGTATTTAAGATGCTTCCTACATGGCAGTACCAGTACATAATGGTTTGACTTGTGTAAGTGGGTTTCACTTAGATGTGGTGTATCTGCTGTAGGCAGTGCCAAGTTAAAGGCCAAAAAAGAGTGTAAGTGAAGGTGCAGCACACGGATGTGAGGCCAATAATCAAGGTTCACATGTTGTTTGAAATAACCTGGCAGTGTAACATCATCCCACAGAAACAAATTAAATTAAATTAATTCCTTGCAATAGCCATTTACTCAATAGTACATAATTATCTGAGCCAACGGTTCCTAAATCACTGTGTGTTAATATTTTCAAGCTGCACAAATTCACTTTTGGAAACAGCTTCACAATACAGCAATTACCTAGTGATTTCTGATTTCAGAGATTACTTATTTACAACATAAATCATTCCAACATATCTAAGTACCTAATGCGACAATGTGTTTAACTTATGATTACTAATCCTAATACAGAATTAGTCACCTTGTTGTGACCATGTGTTCTCTTTCATAATTCTATATATGAAATTTCAAAGTTGACAGCCTACTCTTGTTCCAATTTATGATTTTGTTTGTCTAATGTTCAATTCGTGCATTATCAGCATTACAAACAAAAGGAGAAACACTATAAAAGGCTGCATGTCTTACTTTTCCAGCCGCCGAGGATAAGGAACTGGGGGATGGCCGCAAGAAGTGACCACATTGCTGAAAGTTGCAGCCCTGCGGTGCATCCTCTCGGCCCAACTGGTCATCCTACAGCGGCAGCAACAAGCCACCCGACCCCCCACCACACTGACTACACGCCTGAAATACAAAAATGTAGCATGTGAAAATTCTCATATGTCTATGGAATGAAATGTCTGAGGCAAAAATATGTTATTAAATACGTACAACACATTGCAGCCTTGCAATCCAAACACTTACCACGGTCGTTGGGCACAATCTCCTACGACCAGTTATAATATAAAACATATCAACTTTGCGTGCTGAAACTGTGTCAAAAATTGCTCAATTGATAATGAAAAACTTGAACAACATATGTAAAAGACCAGTACACTACCTACCTCCAATATTCATTTCTAGATTCAGTGAAGAACAATAAAATACATTACAATCATGTTCTAATCAACTGACTGTTATAATTTAAACAAATAAGAACACAAAGTCATCTCAATTTACTAAATAACCACACCTCTCCCTTCATATTTCAAATAAAAATCAATATGGCTTCCGATGTTACTGCAACTAGTGGTAGCCTTGCTAACTACAACAAGAACAAACGACGTACACAATGCAAAGGTCAATAGCATGGATCGTTGACCTGTTTCGACCGCTTCGACCCTCTCTGCTGCTACAGTTACGGTGTTTCGCGTAGTTCGTTGGTTAGGGTTGGCTTGTGTGCTGGGTGAGTAGAATGCATGGGACTACAGCGTACGTTTCTGTGCTTATGCTGAAAATTACCCCATTGATTGTTTACTCTCATACACGAGCATTTTCAATATTACGGGCCCAGCCTGCACGTAATATGTGACAACGCAAGTATCGTTGCTTGAAATTGAGCAGTTCAGGACGAAGTGGAAGGAGCATTCATGGTGTAGCAAGAATCAACGGCAACTCAACTGAAACATGCTTCATTGAACCTTTCTGGTAGTTCGCACTGAACTGATTCCAGATTGCCAAATTTGTTGGTGCTTGAAATGTTACCCGACTGGGATGGCCTATTGTTCTCTTGGTGTTTGGACCGAGAACAGTTTTACAAAATGAATGTCTAATCTTTCCAATAGTCGGCGGGAGGGAAGACAAATTGACCAAATGTAGTGACCATGGAAGAAAATAATATTTAGGTTTGGCATATTCGTTTTTTCAGTAATTTAAATAGTATACAATTCTTTTAAACAGTCTTTACAGCAGATGAGTAGCATATACATTTAGTAGCAGCATTATGTAGAAGAATCGTCTGGCGCAAATAACGTTGGAGAAACAGGAGGCAGCCGCCATAAACGTTTCATCGTCCTTCAAAAATGTATAGTATAAAGACATGTTTCTTGATTGATACATCAACTTAAGTAAAACTGATCAGGATTAAGTCACTGATGATTTTGTATCTATCCTGAACTGAGAACAGAAACAAAGGTAACAACAATAAAGGAACTTCAGTCTCAAACTATAAATTTCAGAACTAGTACATAGACAACACATACTTACAACCTGCTGGTATTGGTCTTGGTGTGTTCTGGCAGGAGTGAACACAGAATTCGAGTATCGGGAACAATAAGAGTGAATGACCCACCCCCCACTCAAGTTTACACTGTTATCACCAAAACTAGGGATTCAGTACTTCCTGAAACCTTTGTTTTAATATTCTGACTGCTTCCCTCATCACCTTTCACTGTGTCCACATGAAACCATTACAGAGCAAGGCTGAATCACTGGTAGAAAACTTGATTACCATGATATGTAGGGCCAGTAATCATAACCCCCCCCCACCAACAAAATAAAACACCAACATGCATGCCACCTTCACATTCAGGGGGCTCCAGGTTCAAAGCTTCAATAAAGGTCAACCACTTCTGCCACAAGTTTGCAAAAAGTCTCTATTCACACAGTTCTTAGATTTTGAAATACTGTCTTTTCTGTCCAAAACAAGGGAGAGGTACAGAGTGGTTTAAAGGTATCATGTACCACCAGCTTAAGAAGTATACCTGTGAATACAGCACATGCAAAAAAAAAAAAAAAAATGTGGCTGGCTAGGAATAAATCATGATGATGAAAGTGCTAGAAAATTTTTTTAATATTATATGAAATTTGCCATATATGTAACATTAACATACCGACAATGCTTTATCTCATTGAAGTGCTCATTATAGGCCATACTAGACATATCACGGTTCCACTGTTCAGTTTGCAAATATTTCCCCACATGGCATCCAAATGGCTTTAGTCCTAGTTGAATACAATTCAAATAATTCCCTGCAGTCTGTGACTTGCTCCAGGCTATTAAAACACGGAAGTGTGTCCACCCAAGTACGTTTAAAATTGGCACTGGAAGCCCATTCAATGTATTTAGCTTTTGTTGCTGTAATTCCTGGTGCCCATAAGGCAGCTACTTCTTGGTGGTTTACTAATGTGTTTAACAGAGTGTTACTGTCCCCTGTAAGTACATTCACCACTCCAGCTGCGAAGTCTGAGGACTGAACCACCTATACCAGAAAACAGAAAATATTTGGCTGAATTATTTTTAATAAAATTACATATGATGTACTGTTCTCAAATTAAAAGAAAGCAAAGTCATTAACCAAGGCTCATCTGTGTGTACCGTGCAAGCTGAAAACAATGGCACAATTTTTTACTCTTACACAGCTGTCCTCGATACAGTTACACTTAATGTATCCCTAAATGATCAGAATGGTAAAGGTTGACCAGTTCCAACTACCATTTGCCTCACCTTCTCTCCACTGGAGGATAACAGCAGTTGTGATATTACAAGGGACTGAAATGGGGTAGGATGAAGTATGATGTCATTCTGCGTCTCTTTTTCTTTTTTAGCTTGACTAGTTTAAGACTGATGGGCCCAATCCATTCTCGACATGAGCATTAAGGGAACATTTACAATGCTCCTTCCAAGAACTGAACCTTGTCTGATCAGTCTATAGACCTTGACTTTGCTAACAGCTGTAATATATTTACTATACTAGGCACTGTACTTGGACAATAATATAAATCAACAAAAAGTATACCTCACAAAATTCCAGTGCAGGAGTAGGATACACACTGTCTGCAACTACAACAACCACATTTCCATAGCATACAGCAGGTGCAAACAGTGAGATAAAACCAAGAAGTGCCCACGGCCCAGGTGGTGACTGTATTGGTGTCTGGACGATTCCAATGACACCCAGTGGCTCACGTCTCACATTCACAAGTACACTGCTGTTTGGGCTGTCACCTGCTGCCAGTTGTTTCTTGTCACAGATAGCTGCCCAGTGAAAAAGTAAGCTCAGACAAGTATCCACCTCTTTAGATGCATCTTCTTCATCAGTCTTGCCATACAAGACTGTCAAATTGCTGTAACAAATAATTCAGATACAATGTTCCATAAACAGTAGTGACAAAGATGCAGATATCCTTGTAAACACTCTTTATGCTAAATAGAATAGTTCCAAAAATAAATTGTAATGCCTACTTTCCTTAAATAGTTACCAACTGTACACACAGTATAGAATAATTTAAAAAGTAATAATCGTACTAGTTAGTGATACACGTCTGTGCATAATTATTTTTAACAAGGATTTTGGGTACTTTGAAACTATCAGGTATAACCTTAAGTTTTAATGCCATCACCAAAATCCTAATTTTCAATACATAAGAAGATATATCGCACACGATATGTAAATATGTGATCTGTAATCACAGAAAATTTCACATGGTTTCTCACTTATCAGTGTCAAACAGCATTACACATTTCATATTCCTTTTATAAAGTTTTAAGATTCAGTATTCAGACTTAATAAAACTCAATAAGAATGATACTTCTTATCACAGTGATCAATGGTATAAACAGTAGCAGGAGTGTTGTTACCAAAGACAATATTTTGAATGCAAATGTGTAGAAGAGCTTCCTAGCGCCAACAAGTTCAATGTCTGATTCCAATCTCAGAATGTTCTGAAGCTATGATGCATTTCCAAACCTGATGAAATCATCACGTCTGGACTGTAGTTTCTCTGCTGCATTATATATAATCTGTGAACGACAATGTGCCCCAAGGTTCCACCATGCTGGTTGTGCTTTGACTGCAGCATCCACTGCATTACGTACATCCTTCCTGCAAGATCGTAGTAAACTAAGGAAAGGCTGTGACTAATGTTCTAATTAACATATTGTAATTGAGGGAGGACCTGCTAGCTTGAAGGTACAGGATAGGCATTCTGTGCAGAAGGTCTCAGGTTTCAGACTAGCCAAATCCTATTCCCTCATCTCTAATGAAGTCAAAAGATTTTAAGTATGCTGGGAATACTAGGTCTCCATTATGGTTCAGACCCCATGTTAAGCTGCACATCCCTTCTGCCAGACATCATTTTCACTATCATCATATCATAAACGACAGAATGGCATCAATTAAGTTCTCCCATCTGCTAAAATATGGATATCTACTTCATGACAGGTAGGCAGACGCTTGACAGCTATGGACAAAACCCAGAGGCATAAGAATAAGGAAATGAAAAATGTTATAGTTTATACACCCATATTCTGAGTGCATTCATGCAAACATACTTAAATGACCTTGTGAAAAGCCTTATGGGGAAATTAATAAAGATATGCCACTTTGCTGTCATATATTACAACTGTCTATGTTGTGAACAGTTCAACAGAAACCACTGTCGAACATGAAATTTTTGAGATCAAGTTTATTAACAAGACTAATGTGCATCCATATAGTGGTACTTTAAAAACTATACAGCTAATTTATAGCATGCAGCTGACAAAATTAAACAACTCTTGGTATTAACAGAGAAAACATTGTGGACTGTGGAATGATGGGTCCAAACATGATCACTTTTAATAACCTAAAATTAGGAGTCTGAAAATATGACAATTACCAGGTTATGGGTCCAATAATATTTTATTATGATTTTTAATTACCTACTTCCATCTGCAACAATAGCATATACTTTTCCAGCTCCATCCAAGACTACACGTGATGAATTTCCATCTGAGCGCTTATAAGATCCACCATAGTACAGTTTATAGGTGTGGTCTACTAAAGGAACTGGACCATTTTTGGACAGCTGGCTCACTGAAGGTGGACAACAGGCTGACACATCAGGTGTCAATCCAAATGATTCATATTCAACAGAATCTGCAGTCATGTTGAACCTCACACCTTTATACTGCATGTATTCTAACAGACCTGAAGTATAAACATGTCAAATTATCTCTCTCACCAGCCGTTAATATAATGCATGTAGTAAAAATGGATAACTATAGAACTATGGGCAACAGACCAGAAGCACCTAATATCATGTAATAGTACGTTATTATCCAAGCTTCAAATTCAAAAGTCCAGCTTTGAATATCACACTGAAAAGCAACTGTCCTAACCTTGCTTTATAATTCTTTCCTGTGCTTCCACAATTCAATACTGGAATTACGCCTTAATGCAATGACCTGAACATCAGAACAAGACCCCTACAGCACACTGAGAACCGAGCTGGTAAAGCAGCCGTCGCCCTCGAGAGAGCAACGCATCCAACAACTCCTCATGCTCAAGATGGGTGACCACAAGCCATCCCACTTTCTGAGGCACCTCTGGAGCCTCACCCCAGACATGCCAGTTAACTTCCTCTGCGTAATCTGGTGCAGATGGCTACCCCACCAACATACAGATCATTCTCGCCAGCCATCCTGAGGACGATTTAGACACAGTGGCCCGCTATGTGGACCGCATCTTTGAGGTCATGCACCAGCAGGTGCTCATGAGCACTGTGCCACTCCCTGACGGCAACACACTTCTGCAACATATCAATGATCTCTCCTGTCAGGCGGCTTCACTCAGGACTGAGCGTGCACACCTTCGCTCCAGCTCCAAAAACTGCTGCCCGAGCAGCAGATCCCCCTCTGCTGGTACCATCACTGCTGTGGAGCCTGGCCACAAAAGTGTACTCAGCCCTGTGCCTACCACTAGCAGGGAAACTAAGACAGTGGACATCAACGGCGGCACATGTCTGCACTACAACCACAGGCTGCCTCTTCATAATTTCAGGGTCACCAGTGTGGGATTCTTGATGCTTGAAGTAACAACCACATATTAAACTTCTATACAAATATTTACTGTTGCAATAATGAACATAAGGACAAGCTTCTTTCAATGACTAAAACACAGTCTGTTGTGCCTTCATGGCACTTTGAACCATGAAAATTCCTCTGCTTCTGTACTGTCTTCTTGTGTCCTCTCACATTGTATCTTCCTCCTGTTATATCTCTGGTTGGCCCACGCTATGTAGCTTAGGTGCTGAAGAGATAGTAATCACTGTCTTCTACAGTTCCGTTACTGTGTCGTACCAATCTGTTTCCATGGAGGCCTGATTACATAGTTGTTGTGTAGCAGCGGATGTTTCCTAGACTGACTGACGACTAGCATGTCAGAAGTCTGCATCTTTATACATTGTCACTAATGGCGCACAAACCAATGGATGTTGGAGTTGCTGTGGTTTGCACTGATCAGCTAGCACTTGATTCAATATGGTTGGCTCCTCTACTGCTATCTAAATCAGCATCATGCTCCCCATTTGACGCTATAAGCCCCATGAAATCAGTGAAGTGTTATTGCAGAAACCAAGATTCAAGACTGGAAATGGTCTCCCCATATATAACTGGCTGGTCCATGAATGAATTTCTTCTTCCATGGTATAAAAGTCCATTGGAAGCCTTGAACACGTTAATAATGCTTTTCCATTGATCCCTAACCAGAGTCTTTTCCTTCCACACGTTGATCCAAGAATGTGTGGATCTTGTTCAATACTGTCCCCTTCTTCTTCTAGTGCCTGCTGGTTTGAAAAATGTTAGTTTTCTGCTTGGATGTATTTTCTTTGTTCTGATAAGGTTGTCCCAGCACCTCAGTCTTCCAGCTTTCACTACTTCAACTACATCTCATCTGTTGTAATTTAGAATTGTATCTGATTCACCACAGGCCATTTTCATTAATGGGACCCTAAACTTTTAATCACCTTTAGTTAGTACACAGCATTCACTGCCATATGCATGTGAGCAAAGGTTGCACATTCATTTCATATGCAGTAGTTTGCATTAGGTGTTGATGCTCAGGTAATATGACCTTACATGAATTTTGAATATTTTATGGTATTGAAAAGGAACATTCTGTTATATGTCTCTTTGTAGACGGTTTGTAGCTGATAACTTCTCTATTTTGTTATTTAACAAGCCTATATCAGGTTACAAAGTTATGCAATACAAAATGAAAGGAAGATTGTGCACAATGAATTTGGAAAAATAAGGGATAACTTACGATGAATATTCGGAAAGTAGCCTCCAGTGAGCTGTTAACAAGAAAGCAATAAGAAAAAATTTTATTATATACAAAAAAGTACATACATACGTAAGGTACTTCTCAACATTGTCACCAATGGAATTGAAGCACTTGTATTGGGGAGTAAGTTGTATGCCTGTGTCAAAGAAGTCTGCCACTTGTGAGCCCAACCATGTTGACACCGTCCATCAACTCATTACTATTGTTGAAGCACTGATTGCAACCAGTTCTTCAGGTAGGTATGAGTAAACCAGGCGGTAGTCGCTTGGAGCGAAACCAGGGCTGTAAGGAGGGTGGTCAAACAACACCCAGTTAAAATACTCCAGCGGTGCTCAAGTGTGAGCAGCTGTATGTGAATGTGCACTGCCATGGAGGACCATACAGCTGATGTCAGCATTCCATGCCTTTTGTTCTGAATGCCCCTTTGCAGGTTTCTGGTGTTTTGTAATACAAAATGTGGGTGAGCTTACAGGCATACAAAAATGTATTCCCTGACATGACAAGTGCCTCAGTTCTGGTGGTGACTACAATGAAAAGTAGATTAAGTATATATGTATTTTTTATATATAATTTTCTTTTCTCATTGCTTATTTTGTTAACAGCTCACCGGAAGTTACTTTCTGCATAGCCCTTGTATTTTAAGATATTCTTCTGCAGACAATCAGAAAAGATATAAATCTTGATCAAGATCAGTCTGCTTTACCGGTTCTCACGGTCTCTCCGCTTGCAGATTTCTTATATATTTTTCTTCTACCCTGAAGATGGAGGCGATACGTTCCTCCGAAACGTCGGTTAATTTGACGCACTTGATTAATGGAATGAGTAATGAATGAACGTCTTAATGGAAATTTTATTTTATTTTAGTCCATGATAAATCTTGATAAATTTCTTGATCATTGTTTAATGTGTATTATAAGTATTATAAGTTTACCTCATTTAATTGCAATATTACTGTATTATTGTATAGATATTATGTATTCTAACTTGACTTGTTCCATATCCTATGGTGTCTCACCTGTACTGGATTTACGGAAGGTAAATAAATTCAATTCAATTCAATACCACATATACACGGTGCCAAATCCCAGAAGACTGCTTTCTTCATAGTCACCGCCGTGAAAGCCTCAAATCCTACAATCTTGATCAAGGTTACCTTTACGTCTTGCAAACCTATCCCCCACCTTCCAAAATGAATGAATCCAATCAATCATGCCATTCATCCCATGAGGAACATTCTGCTGCAACTCCCAATATTAAGATGCTTATCAGAAAGACAGCCTACAGGATAAAACGGAGGCTTGGAATTCTCCGTATTTGAAAACATATGCTATAATGTACATGAAGGTATAAAAACATCTGCACTATATCTGACCAGAAATGAAATCCAGTACTTTTCAAAACAAGAGTCCAGACATTTTTACCTTAAGATGATGAGATCATTATATAAAAATTACAAAACAAAATACTGAATAAGATATACAGTTGAAGACCCATCTTGAGACTTGCAAAGAATGCATGAAGAATAAAGCACTATGTAGTAGATAGGTCTGTCTCTGCCCTCCCTTCACCCTGCAAGTGTCAAGTTCCAAGTCCTCAACTGTAACTGTTATACCTTGCTTGCCCCCCACAACTCCAATTCCACTTTGTTTCCAACCACCAAATGGTACCCCTGCATCTACAGATCCATGACTATTTATCCAAACAGTTCCAACCTGCACAACAAAGAAAATGTTCCACAGACTCAGCACTTCAATTTTATCAGACAGATATCTCGTACCATTAACAACAAACAAATCAACAGTAGAATAGTACCTCATTAATTCAAACTGCAGATTAACTATAAATACACAACTAACACACTCTCAGGTGATCAGCTGTGTCAATGTTGAGTTAAAAACTATCAGTGACATGGTTGATTGTCCAAGAAGATTTTGGCACATTTATTTGCTGTGAAAGCTTGAATTGTCCAAGTTTTATGTCTGTTAAATGGTAAAACGAGTCTGGCAGATGAACTGTGGGCAGACAGACAGGCAGCAGGAATTCCCCATTGCATCTTTACTTAATGTACATGAATAACATTAAAAAAAAAAGAATTCATTACCTGGAGTTGATAAGCCACTTCTACAGCAAGAGAGGCATTCTCTGTCCAAACTGAAGCAGCCATACCATAACGAGAGTTATTGGCAAGTGTGACAGCTTCTTTTGCCGTCCTGAATGGCACCACTGCTACCAAAGGTATTTGGCCATCATTGTCAATGACACGATTGCTGTCTGCAAGACCACCAATTACAAGAGTTGGCAGAAAGAAGTTTTCAGAAGAAAGACCTGGTGGTATCTGTGCCTGATATATCTACAAGAGAATTATATATTCATATAAGAAACAAGTAAGCTAAAAAGGAACTGTTAAGACAATAAATTTCAATATCTCAAAAAGATCAACACCATTAAAGAAATGACACACTATTTAGCATGCATTTTAAAATTATATATTCTGGAAGGAAATCTTATCACCTTCAATAATTACAAATATGGTATATCATATTTATATGTTTTTACAATATACCTCTAAGCCATTCTTCTTAGCTACTGCGGTTGCAGCAGCTAAATCTGCAATAATATCTTTAGTTAGTGGTGATCCAACATCTGCCAAGTGGTCAAATGCTTCTCCCACACGCAGCTGATCAATACGGCTACGCAATCTGGACACAAAATTGTCCCAAATGGACTCCTGGACAAATAACCGACCCACACACCACGGAACCTGAAAATGAGGAAGCCGTTATTAGCAACTCTTCATCGATTCATATTTGAGAACTCCTCAATATATTTTATAACATATTACTGACAATAAAAAGACAGTCCAAACATACTTGAGGATCATATTTATGTCCTACCTTGTGAAAAGCTGAAAACTAACTGGTGTATAAGTAGATACATACCTTCAACATTAAAATATTTTAGAACAATGTTAAATTATGTATTACTTCTTTGGTACAACTTCATGATATTCAGAATCAAATTCCAGATTTTCCATTTCTAAGGCCTCAAAAGTGCATGTTTCTATAAACTTTCTGGTTCAAGTTTCACCAGAGATGACGACTGCATATGTTCAAATCTGGGATGTTAACAATAAAGCTCTAGATTACAAGGTTAGTCACCATGTGTTCATCCCAGCATGCAAGTTATTTCTGCAGCCCATGAATATTCCATTACTTTACAAATAATACACAATGACTGCATACATATCTACACATACAAAGCCTGGTCAAAAATTCAAGACTAAAATATGTGAAAACCCAAGGCAATAAACTTTTGTAGATGGGAGGTTAAACCACTTCAGAGAAGCTCCTTCAGCACATGTATGCTTGTTCTAGCGTTCCTGTCATTGCTCTAACCACCTCTTAAACTCGGTTTTTGGAATTTTTACACCTGCTCCACCGCAGTGTGTTCCATTGTGCCCATGTAATCAAATCCTCTGCCTTCATATCACCATTTTTCAAGTTTAGGGAACAGAAAAAATTACAGGGAATCGTACTTGGTGAAATGGAAAAGAGTTATAGGGGGTCATATCTGGTAAACTGTAAGGCTGTCTCACTTGTGGAATAGTGTGTTTAAACAGAAATGACGGCGAATAGTGTGACCCTATGGAACACACTCATGTTGCTTAACACCCTGGTAACTAAAGATGATCCTGACTTCTTTAGCCATTTCAATAACAGTCAAGCTTTTGTTTATTTTGCTATCAATCATACACATAGAGTTCTACTTGCTGCCTTATTACTTTCAACTGACATTTGTCACTTTTTAAAGTGGGAACCACACAAAATCTCATGATTGGCTAATTCCATTTTTAAATACAGTTTGCATATTTCCTCTCATAGTTTGTATATGGCTCTATATCTGTCAGGCGTATTTGTAGCCTAGACTGGATTGACAGAATTTTACAATGAAATAAATAAACAAACAATGACAACTTTAACTCTGACTGTATACCTAAGAGCGACTGAAAAATAACGAATAATGATGAAAGGAAATGACTGTTACCTATCCTGGAATTTGGCTGGAAAGACTCAGAGAAACTATGAAAAACCTGTCAGTACTGCTGCTGTCCCGGCTGAGATTCAAACAGCACCTTCTGAACACAAGTCAGAAGCACTGATGCTCGAGTCAACGTGCCATCAATTGCTATGTTTCCTTCACTATCTTACTAATCTTGTTGCAAAATGAACAGCTCACTGCTCTTGGACTGTTAAATCAACATGTGACATGGCACCCTGTCTAAATGATGACTATTCATACCTGAAGCAATGGCCTATGCTGAAACACACCTGGAAATATAGTAATTCCAGGGCACATTCATTGCAGCAACATCCTTAGTGTTGTTTATCTGAGATATTAATTAAGCTTTGATAATTTTTAATCAGACATTGTACAATATACTACCTGACCCTGATTGAACCATGCTGCATCAACTGCCCCTTCCACAGCTGAATCCAGATCAGCAGAATCAAACACTATCATCGAAGATTTTCCACCACTCAATACTGCAACCAGATACCAAATGCTTGAGAGTCAATGTTTATCTTTAATACTATATACAGGGTGAATTGTATAGAACTGGCCCGATGAATTTGTTAATAATTCTGCAAGTGATGCATATAACTGCTCACAATTACGACATAATAATCCGTTGGGAGTGCTAAGTCGAATGGTGTGCGCATGATCTGGCAAGTGGCAGCCCTTATGCTGCAAGGTCAAGGACAATCCTGAAACGTGTCTGCAGTGCGCAGGCGACAGTCATGGAGTACACTGTTGAACAGCGAGTGTTTCTAGTGCCTACTTGAAAACGGCGGACACTTTCAACACCTGCTCTGATCACGGCACACAATCCAAGATAAGATATGTGTAAATTACTTTAATATCTGTATGGTATATTTTATATTACAGCTCATTTCATCAGGCCGGTTCTATACAAATCACCCTATACTTCTTACATATATAGATTTATGTGCCATGTGCATGTTTCTCTCCCCTTTGGCCATTGACACACACTTGCAAGAACCCCCCATAAAAATGCAAATGCTCTGTATTCATTAGTAGAATGTAGTTAAATATTCCTTCTCTCATATAAAACCAGAGCAATTAATATACACTAGACTTGGTTTGTAAATTAGACAGTTCTGAAAAAAGGGAGCAATTAAGAAATCCAAAGCTGACATTCAAAAATGGGTATCATTTGATCTACTTTTATCTGTGCATGTTCTACTCACATAAGGTGAGGTGCATACCCAGACCAGCGGTCTGTTTGCGTATAAGTCGCCCAACACCTGTTAAACCAGAGAACATCAATTTAGATATTTGACTGTGTGTGACTAAGAGCTTCCCGACATCTGATCCACCAGGCAACACATTGATCACTCCAGGAGGCAACCTGCAATTACAAATATGTAACCATACATATAATTCATGCAAAGGCAATATAATTAATGCAGTAAGGTGCATCATATATATTTTTCTCCCTCCTTATCACTGTTTCTGCCAAATACTTCAGTCTTACCAATTTTTATAACGATCAAAATTTCCAGTAAACACATATGCTGTACCAATGAACATATTAAAATCTAGTAGGTGTAGAAATTCAAAACAAAGTAATTTATTTTTGTCAGGGCTCACTGCACCCAAACCTAATATTGAAGGCAGTGCCAGGGGTCCCTTACTGCTTGTTTACAAGATCCCCCTCCCTATGAAGGGACTAATACGCCAACTTGTTCACTCACCTTTTACTGTCTGCCCTAATGAAATAGCAATCCTGAATTTTTTAAAAGCTAACACTGGGTCAACACAACTGCAAAATGTCAAACAGGAACTCGTTTGTGCTTTGTGGAGGCATCTGTCATGATTTTTTGTCTTATTACCTGAAAGTGGATATTGAGTTCTTTGAGGTAGTACCTCAGAATCTGTTAAAATAAAATAAATTCTTAATCAACCTTGAATGTCCCAACCCAGTATCTGAACTGGGCACCTTTCAAATGAAGTCATTGGTATGTCACCATTTATTTATAAATTGGCTTAAAACAAGCACATAAAATATGAGATCTGCAAAAATCAATTTGTATGAACATGTCTGAAGACTTCTATCTTCTGGGATTCATTCATTCATTCATCAGTAATCTGTCAGATGACAGGTCCACAGTCTCTTCCAAAACAGTTCGTCCACTTAATGCGATCTAGAGCTTTCTCCTTCAAATGAGAATATCCTCTTCTGTCCCCAAGGTCATCCAGCATCTTCTTACGTCTTCTTCCTCGTCTTCTGGGTACTTCTATCCGTCCCTCTATCTTTCCTTCAATAACTTCTTTTAGAAGGCAGTTACAGCGTAAGATATGACCAATCTAATTAGCCTTCCATTTTCTTATTTTGTGTAGGATATTCCTCTGCTCACTGACTCTAAATAACACGTCTTCATTTCTCACATAATTGGTCCAACTGATCTTCTCCATCCTTCTCCAACACCACATTTTGAAGCTTTCCAGATGTTTCTGATCTACTGCCCTAAGTCTTCTGGGATATAGTGTCATGTAATCTGCTGAAAGCCAACTCATATTTCAGAGGAATATGTTACGGCCCCCCTCATCAGGGTCGAAGCAAACAGGTTCTGTCTGCTATCTGCTTCATGCTAGTATCTTGCTTGGCTTGTTCTTCAACCCTGAAGATAGACGTGACATGTTCCTCCAAAATGTCAGTTGACTCTCAATGGACTATACAGTGTTATATCCCAAAAGGCAGAGCTCTTCATAACTACTGATGTAAGAACCTCAAATCCTGCAAACTCTGCTCTTATGCGTGTATATAGGAACATGTATCTTTTTTTGTACATTTCCCTAGTCCCCTTGTGTGAATAATGGGACAGCACTCCCTCCAAACTCCCTGACCCATCATTCAGCCCACATTCTCATTCATCGCCACATAACAGTAGTTCATACAGCATTGTGAAATCATCTCCGTGCCATACATCCCAGTGCACAGAATTATTATATTTCATCATCCTGTTGCACTGAGGCGCTATCCTTATTATTAAAGCAACTGTCAACAATGAAACAACATTTTTTAAAATATAAAAGACATCTAAAATATGTTTCTCACTAAAAGTGCGACTTTAATACTTTACGATGTTGTTAAAATCATAAAATGTCAGTAAGACACTAAAAGTATAACTTATAAACTGAAAGTGATCATCAAATTATTAAAATGTCTCTAGTTTTACATATGCTTCTTCAGTTTAAATATGTTTTGGCCACACATGGGCCATCAGAAGGCAATTTTCTATTTTGTTTGCGGGGAGACCACTGCACTGTTCACTTGTCTATCATCATTGTGTCTTATTTTATGATTTTAACAACATCGTTAAGTACTAAAGTTGCACTTCTATTGAGAAACATATTTTAGATGTCTTTTATATTGAAAAAAACATTGTTGCATTATTGATTGGTGCTTTAATAATAAAGATAATGCCAGTGTATAGAAGTTGTATATGCTGGGATATATGACATGTAGGTATATTTTTTTTACCTCTAAAAGGTCCAAAAATATGCAGTGTATCTTATATCCATATACATTATATTACATCTTGCATGTCAAGAAATGCAGTAAATACTGTAACAAACCAAACAGAAATACTTCTTTATCTGTGTCCATGACCGAAGGGCCCCTAACAATACATTTCAAAAACAAAGAAGTGAAAGTTTCTAATTTCTGAACCTAAGATGTGATGTAATACTTTTATTACATCCCACTGTCCCTGCAAAAGAGCCAGGCATTTTTTTCTTTTAATCTGCAAGTATTCACATTAAAAGCTGCTGCTACTGAAACACTGCCTTCAGTATTAAATATTCTCATTTCTTGGCACTACTACAGACAGCAGTTGTAAAACAGTGAACATATCAGATGAGGAAGATCAAATATGCAGTTTACTTTACCATTTATTTAATCAAATTAGACACTCTCTACATACAATAGTGGAGAGCTGGGACAGTGCAACTGGTATAGTGACCATCTATAAGCTGGATGTCTGAGGGGCCAGATTTCAAGTCCCAGCAGGAGCAAGATTTTCCTTCTCTCCATGTTGTCCAGGCTGGTTCTGGAGCCCACCTAGCCTCCTATCCAAGAGGTAACAGGGCCTCTTTCCCTGGAGGCAAAGTGGCCAAACCTTGAAGCTGATCACTCACCTCCAACTAGTGCTGAGGTCAAGAATATGTGGATCCATACACTCCCTCTTACGTACGTCTTAATGGAGTAGTGCCTAATTAGTTAAGCACAGGCACAACTTTTTAACTATTACAATTAACAGAGTTACATTCTAGTAAATAAATAGAATAATGTTGCATTTTAGCCAATCTATTTTTCTTTACACTGGCTAGAGATAATGAGGGTTCTTCCAGTGCTAGAGGCAGAGACATGTAATATCTAATGGAAATTTCATTTCAAAAGAAAATACGTAAACTTACATGATATGACCTACCCGGCCTGTGAAGCAATGTTAGCAAACAGCAATGCTGGCAATGGTGAACGCTTAGGTGGCTTGAGACAGACAGTATTTCCGCCAGCTAGGGCTGGACCCACAATCTGGGCCAATGTAATGAGAGAAGATAAACCAGACATTACACCAATTACAACACCCATAGGTTTCCAGTCTCTCAGTTCAGATGAAGATGACAGCTGAGCCCAGCCAGCATAATGATATAAGTAGCGAACTAGTGCAGGCACATCAAACTCTCTTGGGTCACGACTCTGCACTCCACGATTTAGCGACTCCATCTGTGCCAGAAGAGCAGCATGCTTCTGTATATGACGTGCCAAACTGTAGACAAATTATACTAACAGAAGAAGCTATAATGTGAAATGGTATTCAGTAGAACTATTCACCAGTGGTATGATGTGTTTTAGGTTATAGCTTTCAATATTGCTCATAATATTAGCCCAAGAATTTACAATATGTCACTATACCAAATTTCACACATTAAGCTACAATTCATCAATTAAACGTCTATGTATTAAGTCCATCAATAATGCAACAATCATTAAAACAGTCACCATTCAACACCAACACGACATGTTTTGGCCATAGACGGCTATCCTCAGGTGTTTCGTTGCATTTAAACTATTACACTGCTTTGATGTGCGCTAAAATTGTGCTAAAATTTCGCATATTGCAGATTGCAGACACAGCTGCTGAAACAAACTGTTGGGAATACATGCATCACATAGCTTTTAAACAAGTGGATGACGCCCCTTATGAGGTGGAATAGGATTTTATGAAAGATTTTAGTAGAAAAATCTTAATGAATTTTAAGTAATTGTTTATGTTATTTTAAGTGGACTGTAATGTGCAATTTTAGCACGCATCACAGCAGTGTAACAGTTTAGATGCAGCGAAACACCTGAGGATGGCCATCTATGGCTGAAACATGTCGTGTTGGTGTTAAATGGTGAATATTTTAATGATTGTTGCATTATTGTCAGACTTAATACATAATTCTTACATACATCTTAATTAAAGATGTGAACAGGATGCTGAAATACAGCACTACGATTCATCAGTCATCAACATCAAACAGAAATATTTAATCTTGCTATCACGTCAATTTTATAAAAAAAGAAAATTACTGTGCATACTCCCTAACAAGGTTCTGATGAAGGAGATGCAAATTATTTCATGAAGACGAAATCATCCTGCATGGGGGAAACACATCTGCCTTTATTACAGTCTTCTGGAATGTGATGCTGTGTTGTGTGGTACAGAGATACCAACATTTCAGAGGAATGTGATGCCTCCATCTACAACATATATGAAATTTCTCAAATATGTTGGTACTCATCAACCAGACTACATGTAGACTACATGTAGAAGACCATCATCTTAGAATTTGCTACTGTGAGAACTTCAAACAGTTCCTTGGAGAAAGACATCACATCATGGAAGACCATAATCCTAACACTCAATTCCATCAGAACCTCAAATTGTATACATTTGTCACATTTCAACCTGCCATAATGAGGACTTAGTAAACATTTACAACAGAGACGGATGTAGCACCAAAGGTGATGAAGCAATCAAAATCTTTACTTGAAAAATTAGTTATTATTTTATGTATCTACTTGCCCCTGAATACAGCCTACCTGTATATGAGACAAGCCCTCTTGTGTCCACCCAGATTGTTCCACAAGTCAGCTGCTTTGATGGAAGAATTAACTGCTGCATTGACGTCATCTTCCAAACTAATCCCTACTTTGGCTATAACTTGTTCTGTGCAAGGCTTGCATACTTCAAATTCTGAGGATGAAGTCTCTTTAAAGGTTCCATCAATAAATGGCCCTAACTTCCTGTCCTTTAACCATGCCTGCAATTAAAAATAAAATTTCAAGTTATCGTATATAAATGTGGTCTCAATAAATCAGTTAAGTGAAAATATTTTCCAGCTGCAGAATTTCTTTTGTATCAGCATCAATGTTTGCTTGAAAATAACTGAAGTATTTCTCTTTGGTATATTCACAAACTGTTCATTCATTTCAGCAAAAGTGCATGTGAAACATCTGTAACTTCTCAAACCATGCTACTGGTTGGCACAAGAAATGACAAACTGGTATTTCTGGATCTGTGACTGCAGCCTGCAATTAACTTTCTCAAGTGATACAGTGTATTACTGCAGTGGTGCATACATGTGATCCAGCTAGCTGTGTGCTGCATTTCATTCATTACTGAAGTCCCAAATTAAAGGTTAACAGAAGTCAGTAAACAGTAATTCACCTTTTATTTATTATATTATATTTAAGCATCCTGTTGCACTCCATATGATAAATGATATAAACTCCGTCTCAAGTGCAAACAATATATTCTGTGTCTTTGATTTCGCTCCCTACACTACATGTTTCGGCCTCAGACGGCCATCATCAGGTGTATAACACTCACGTCGCTGTCACACTGCACCCAGTTCAAAATTTAACATCTAAAACACTCTCCCTGTCATTATCAACTTCTACTTCGTTGATAGCTTTGCACACGTAGTAAAGAATAGCAGCGGCACGCACACAGAAAGACTACACAGGATAACACCTATACAGTGTGGAAACAAGAACTAGCCGCTGCAGCACTTCAAACACAGGGCGAATAACCCTAACAATTTTAAAATTTTAAAATTTGGACAAGAATTTAAAGGTTTAAAATTAGAACTAAAGATTTTATTATGGTGCTATTACAATAAAGTCAAAATTAATGTGTGTGAAGTAATCTACGGGTGGACAGCTATCAACGAAGTAGAAGTTGATAATGACAGGGAGAGTGTTTTAGATGTTAAATTTTGAACTGGGTGCAGTGTGACAGCGACGTGAGTGTTATACACCTGATGATGGCCGTCTGAGGCCGAAACATGTAGTGTAGGGAGCGAGATCAAAGACACAGAATATATTGTTTGCACTTGAGACGGAGTTTATATCATTTATTATTTATTATATTCTGTGGGACATAAGATATATCCTAAATTTTGACATACAGGCTTACAGATTTAATAAATAATTTTACAATGAATTTTATTATTTTGTAAATTTCTTTTAGAATTGTTGGTGGTTTCATGCAATTTTCTGGAAACTTTTCAAAAGTTAGGACTTATAACGAAGCCTGTAACTGTAACTGTGGAGAACCTGAAGTGGATGATACATGAGTAAACCTAAGAGAGTGGGGAGGAAAGGTTTTGACAGCAAGAAAAGGAAGAAGTTGCATACCATTTCAAAATTTTTTCTAAATAGAAAATTAATGCTGAAATGTATGTTAATTTTTACTGATATATTAAATGTGTAACAAAAATTTGCTGCTATAAAACTGAATGCTTTAAGATAACTGTTAACAAACACACGAAATGACGATTCATGTACATGCAAGTATACAAAGCACAAACCTTGGCAAGACTGGAACTATCAGATACAGGTCCATATTCCATACTTTTAAATATTTCTGCGATTACACTGACTTTTGAAGAATTCATAGTGCCAGCCATAGCAAAGCAAACCACTGAAATCAAAGAAAACAATAATATAATATTATTCAGTCATTTGCATATTTGAAGATAGGTATTTTTTGTGGGATATTTAACAATGTTGGTACTAGCTATAATATGTAGTGTCAAATGGCAGGATGACAGATGAAATGAAAGGGTTTGGAAGGAAATGGTCATAGTTGAATTGAGGCACTATCCTAGAATCTGCCTGGAGAGACCAAGGAAAGCCATGAAAGACCAGAGTCAGGATAGCCAGTGTCCCAGCCAAGATTTGAACCAAGAACCTCCTGAATACAACTCTTGGGAGTTAAGGTTAAGCCAACCTATTTGATGGGAGGCAGAAGATTAATGGTTGAAACACAGCATGAAATGTTTATCATGACATGAACACGTGTGTTCTTCTGAACTCGATTACAGAAGTGAGATCTTTTAATGAGGAAAATCAAAACCACAAAAGCATAACTGAGTTGTGATTCTGCATAATTCAATGTAGTTTATATCAACTGACTTTTTAAGACAATCTCATGGCATGAAATCCTGAAAGCTACTGTCACTAATACCTGAAGCAACTTCATTTCCATATATACAGCACATCCTTCACTATGCTACAAGCCGGAAGGTCACAGGGTTGAATCCTGAAGAGATGGATTTTTTTCAATTCACCTAATCCTTCCAGCCACACTATGGCCCTGGAGTCAACTCAGCCTCCAACAGAAATGAGTACCAGGAATATTCTTTGGGGTAAAGGGCAGCTGACATGTAAGGCTGACCTCACCGCCATCTATGAGGTGACTGTCTAGAAAATGTGGGAACCTCAACATCTCACAACCTATGTGCCTCCAAGGCCTGTTACAGGGATAGCTTTACTTATACTTTTACAGCACATCCTTCATAAAATATGAATGTCCATCTTGCCTCTTTTTGTCTGCAGAATGCTTACTTCCTTGAGAACTAATGATGAAACTCCAAACCAAAACTAAAATCAAACGTGTAATAAAAAAGGCACAGGTGCAAGGAGTTATTTTATAACACAGAAAAATATACAACAGAAATGTGCATGTAAGAAGTGTCTGTTGGGTTCATTGAAGGCAATTTTATGTTTTTCCTTGTACATTTTCAGAACGTAGGAGTAATGCAAAAAAACTCAATTCTCATGATGGGCCTTACAGTTATTCCGTACCAATTTAATTTGAGAAGCAAAGTGTCATGATTAATGCAGTCAAAAGCTAGATCACAGAAGATTCTGCCTACTAGTAATTTTTTATCAAGGGCACCTAATGATTTCATTACTTAGCTTACTGTCTCTTTTCCGACGTGATGAGACCTCATTTTTTTATTGCTAGTGGGCTGGGACTAAGTCTCTTGTACTGCGGCCACTTCTGGCCTATTGTACCAGCCCCAGATGATAGGTGAGGGTGACTGTGGAGCAATTGGTGGAATGAAGATTGGCAGGGGAAACCAAAGTACTTGGAGAAAACCTGCCCCAGCGCCACTTTGTCCACGACAAATCCCACTTGACCAGACCTAGGATCGAACCACGGCCACCGCGCTGGAAATCCAGCGATTAACCTCATGAACCCATTTCCCTTTTTTGAGTTCCAATTGCGCAGAATTCTCGTTGTGATGCAAGTAACATGTGTCTGTACATACAGTCCAATTGTGCGTGTTTAAGTTTATCTCTTCTTGTAGCAGTTCAATAATTATTTTGATGCTGATTTGAATTCTATTAAGGTCTGCTTAAATTCTATTTTAAATGTATCCAACAACCCACGTTACTTCGCTTGTTTCACTACTACTAGTGATGAAAATTGGAGTGTCATCACGGTCATCACCACTACATACTGTAACATCCACCATACTGGCCTGGTCAGTACGGTCAGTACTTTGCATCAGGTCACGACCGCTTCCTTCTATTCCCTTTCCAGTTCATTATTCCCTACCATGTAATCACTCGACCGTATACAGTATGAGTTACTAAATGCATCATTGAATAAACTATAACAAATAAACAAACAAAAATCTTCGCATCACACATCAACTTTTGTTTCTTGCTGACAAGTAATTAAACCAGCATTAGGGGAGTTTTTGGCGGAACCCCTGGGTGCGTCTTGAATAACCGAATTCTCTCGCCAACATCTTCCAACAGTTACTTCTACTCTAAATCTGAATTAGAATACCTACTAATAAACACTCAAATACCGAATACCTTTAGGCTGTACTGATGAATTTAGTATTTAAATCATCTGGAACATCTGGAATAACCTAACTCACTCAGTCCTTGCGCAACACATCCTTATCACCAAGCCACTGAATGTTATCAGATCAGACCGGACCGGACGGACCGGACGGCCCAGAACGTTTAGGTTCACATTAGTATCATTAAGGTAATCGATACCAGAGATACAAGCCACCCATTGGTATGAGGTTTGTCAGTTTTTCTGACATGTTGGTATGTTAAACCTTCAAATAGCGTTAGCAATAAATACAATACAACACAACACAACACAAATCCGAGTTTGGCTTCAAACACATGGAAGCATGGAATGTATGTAGAGGACAACGGTATAACACACCCTAGTAATAAGTACCCGATAATTGAAAAAACTGGAAACGTAACACTCTGTCTGCTGTGTCTGAAGCAGTCTGCAGGTTATCAGGGGCTACTGAACGGATATGAGTGAAGTGATCGAAGCGATATTGAACCCAGTTCAGAAAAAGAAAAAAAACAACGGAGTAAGAACCTCTGCAGCACAAGAGATGTGACTGCAAAATTATCTGTTGCTATTCATGTGAACTGGTGATTCCGTAGCTCCTAAGGGTGAAAACGAGCTGGTTGGAGCGAAGACGCATAGGACGATATGGTAGCATTCTATTTTATTGATCATGCTGTCGGTGCTGGTATACATTTCTCATTTAGTTAGGATACGTAGAGATGGCAGCTGTAATTCTTTGTTACGTCACCACAGCCATGTTGTTCACCATTATCGAAGAGTTTACAGGGGGTGGGGGGGGGGGTTGCAGAAAAAAAATGAAAATAGAAAAGATGCCTAGGCAATGCCCATCCGGCCTTTGGGGGGGGGCATTGTAATCGGTACGCGACATTTGTCATGAATTATATGAATTCTTGGAATGTTTTCCGTTTCCGTCGTTGAAATACTTGCAGCGCCCGCCGCCAGATGCTACGAGGGTTACGAATGGTTGCGAGCGGTCCGAGCCGGTCCGAGCCATCCGAGCACAGGTTACGAGTGTGGATCGGTGTCTTCGGTATGGTTCGTATCGGTTCGTATGAATTGCGGATGGGTTGTTGTCGCTTAATTATGTGATTGTGTGTTACGAAGGAGGTGTAGTTTTGTGAGATTGGTGCGCGTATGTAATTAACTTCGTAATAAAATAAGTTACGTAACCGGAGTGATATTTTACTGATTGGAAACATAGAGAGCCTTAAGATGTATGACTTAATTTTGAATGTTCTTTAATGTCAAATAAGGTAATGGATTCTCAGGAGAACAGTGATCTTCTGCGACTCCCAGTGAACTCTGAAGAGCACTCATTTAATTCATGGCAAGTGAAATATAAACGCAGCCACATCTTACACTCAAAGTGTTCAAATGAAGCACTCTGTAGAGATGAAGCTTCAGAAAGTTGTTTGTACTGTCTGTAAGTAACTAAAATAGAAATTCATCCGCCTTTCCAGCGACGACTGAAGTGTTATATAAATGCATGGATAATGACGAATTTGAACATGGAACGTTCGATTCCATTATTTAACGATGTATCCTCAGCCAATCTGGATAGGGTGATGCCGAATTGTTAATTTCTTATGTCATTTTTGGTAAATGCCATGTCAGACATAATCTTGACCAGTGACAAATCTTATGTAATACAAATGTTTTAGAAATGGTCACTGAATGGGTATTTGGACAACTGCAAAGTTATGCTATGTAGGAAAAGGGGTGCATTGTTTCCTGTATTGTATTGTATTTTATTTTCATCCATTTTGCTACATAATAACACTTGGACAAGTCATTTGGCAATACAGGTTAACAAAACAAATCTACAAAGTTACAAGCATGGTACGAACATTTGTTACATTCATAAGCAATATATAAATACAACATTTAAAAAAATATACAAACTACTTATACAGCTCATGAATGGCTATGACAGCCAAACATAAGTACTTGCACCATCCACTTTTTTATTAAAACTAACAAATTCATTTATCGTATAAAAAGAATGTTTCAATAAAAAGGATTTTAAGTCTTTTTTTAAAGCTGAAAACCCACTGAGTTTTTTATTTTGTGTGGTACCTTACTATACATTTTTATCCCCATATTTACCACACTTTTTTAAATAATGTAGTTCTGTAAAATTGAACATGAAAATCCCTGTTTATTCTTGTATTATAATTATGAATATTTATATTTTGGATCAAATATGCTTTGTGCTTCTTTATGTAACATGACACCTCTAAGATATACAAAGATGTGACTGTGAGGATGCCATAATCTTTAAAAATTTTCCTGCATGACTCTTGTTTACCAAGTCCGCTAATTATTCGCAACACCCTCTTCTGAATTTTAAATACCTTTATACTGTCACCTTCACCCACACAAAATATTATTCCATATCTCAGTAACAATTGAAACTTTCCAAAATAAATGCTTCTTAATATATTTGGACTCAAAACTCCCCTTAGTGATTTAATCGTATAGGATGTTTTACTAAGTTTTGATCTGCCCGAGTTATACATAATGCAGAGGTAGTACTATTTGCTGATGATACAAATATATTGATTACTGGAAAAAATATTTTATCATTAAATGAAAAAATTCAAAATGTAAAGAATCAATTAGAAAAATGGTTTTATGAAAATTGTTTAATAATAAATATGGATAAGTCAAAGGTATTATTTTTTCAGGGCAGTAGATCTATTCCAAGTACCAGACCCCTTTTTTCTATAAATAATGAGGTGGTTTATTCAGTGGATGTAAAATTTTTGGGTATTTTCATTACTGGAGATTTAAGTTGGGCAACCCACACCCAATATGTGTGTCAGAACTTAGCAAGACTACCTATTTGATTAAATCCCTATGGGACTCAGTGAGCCAAACTGTTTTAAGAAGTGTGTATCTTGCAAAATTTGAGTCCGTGTTGAAATACGGTATTATTTTTTGGTGTGGGGTGAAAAAGGACTCTGAAACTCTATTTAAACTGCAGAAAAAATGTGTAAGGGTGATAAAAGGTGTTAAAAATAGAGTTTCATGTAGAAATTTGTTTCGTGGATTAAAGATTTTAACTGTTACTTCCTTATATATTTTTGAGATCCTATGTTTTATAATAAAAATAAGATTTATGTATTCCATTTAAGGTTTTCTATAATATCTGTACCTAAAAATCTCAGTTCTGATGAGTAAGCAATTTCCTGTGAAGCAGAAACTGGATTTTTAATAATACATACAAAAACTTGAGACCTCATTTAGTGGAAGCTATTTATATTGAACCCAGTATTAATGCCTCAGGGTAGTTGCACTGACAATTGCAGCTATACTGCAGACAACTCCTGCTGTTGAGGCTTCAGGGGGGTTAAAGCAAGACTTAATAGTTATAAGATAAATTAACCCTGCTACATTAACAGTTTATAGGTGGTAACAGCTTTTGTGTAATTAAGATATCAGTTCTAGTATAAGACACCAGTCAGGACAGATGCTGTGCAGTAGAGTCAGATGTTTGTCCCTATTTTAAGTAAATATACCATCATGAATTTCCACTGTCATTAATGACAAACTTATATGACATTTCTTTGGATGTTTGTGTCTTAATTATGGAAGTAGGTGTAAATATGCAGTCATGTTACAGGTACAATCGGATTCTTCAGCTGCCGCACGTGCCTGATATGGTCTTCCCCAATAATTCATTAGAACTGAAACACATTAGTGGCTGCACAATTGAATTTAATGCTCTGGATGCGCTGAAACATGTTAGTAATGGAAAATTGCCTCTAAAGATTGCATGTGCAGATGCTTGGAAGGAATCACGGTAATGTATGCTGCAAACATGTTTTCCTTTAAAAATGACAAGTAAAAGAACGAACACTGAAAACTTCAAACATAATTTTTTTGCTATAAAATTACAACTTTGAATTTGATGCGAAAAAAGAATTGAAATTGTACGGTATAGTAATGTAATAGCAATTAACTTTTTATATGAGTGAAATATGGTTACAAAAAGGAAAATTGTTTGAAAAATTCAACTAGCAGAAATAAAATTCTTTAGAAGTATTCATTCATTCATTCATTTATTTATAGTTCCAAAAAATCCATAGAGGCATATGCCTCAGATATAGAACAAGTCAATAATACAATATAACATATAAATATACATACATAATCAGATAGTCATCATCGTCAAAATTTAAATACTCAATACAACAAAACTACTGTACAGCAATACATTCCATATATCAAAATAACATTTAAAATTACATACATGATCAAGACCACCAAGATCCTTAATAGAGTAATATAAAATCTATTTTCTTAATATATAATACACCAAACTCTGATGTCCACACACGTAATACCAGATTTAATCATGACTTGCATCTTCCAGTGGTAAACTTAATGATATTTCAGAAAGGTGGATGGTATTCTGGTATCAAACTTTATAACCACCTCCCTCCAGAGCTTAAACAATTATCTTATGACATTCCTGGATTTAAAGTGGCGTTAAAGAAGTTTCTTATCACCAGTTCTTTTTATACTGTTGAAGAATACTACTGCTGGAA